CTGTAAAGTGGGAAAAGCAGGGGGCAAAACTGGACACAAAGTACCAAGTTTGTAAATCAATCTTAGGCAGCACACTCAGGAAATAAAATCAGACTATACACACAAAATGATAATGGATTTGTTTCTGCGAGATAGGATTTGTTTCTGGGAGACAGGAATCTAGTAGTAGATTCTTATCTACTTTTTTCAAAAACTTTTTACTGTTTTTAAACCAAAAAATATAAATAAATACCTAAGATTTATAGAATGGCAGATTTTAAATGTTGGATTGATTGCATTCCAGAAATCTTAAGAAAATGTGTCTGGAGTGATCATTGCATTTCTACTCTATGTGCCTATGAACTACACGATTGGGAACACCATGTAGATGTTTTTAATTTTTTTTAAATTAAAAGATATAAAACATTTCAAAATACTCTTTTTATGCAGGCGAATGACAAAATGAAGAGAACAACAGCCCCGTCCAATGTCGTCTGGTGATGATTTGAACAGAAATAAACTGTGCATAACCAGAGTGTCCCCATGAAAAGACCTAGAAAGGGCACTGTGTTGGAATTCTGTGCTTGTTAGGATGGCCCACTAGTAGAGCTGGTTCTGCGTCATCCCCAAAAGCAGAAATGCTGAAAGGCAGCAGAGAAGGGAAGCAGGTGTTTTCCCTAGTCTTGGAGTTTATTAATCAAGTGCAATAAGCACGTTTCAATCGCCTATAATTCTTATATTTAAATGTTTTAAAACATTAAAAACTTTGAACGATTCTGCTTAGTAAGAAATCATCCCAGAATCATTAGAGGAAACCAAGAAAAGAGACACCAGGGAGTATCTTTAGAGCCTGGCAGCGTCTGGCAGGAGGCAAAAGTTCAGTGACTGTTAGATGGCAGCGTGGACGAACCCATCCAGAAACCCTCAGTTTACACACAAATAGGTTCCATGAGAGGAACCCTCTCGCAGCAACGTTCTTCAAGGAAGAGAACTGAAAGAGTCAAAGCTTCTAATCCCTGCTGATAACCTGGTTACTAATTTGTTTTAATTATCAATAAATAACATTAGGTAAAATTCTATAACAGGTCATTTTGGCAACTCAAAGCACTGATTTCCTACAGCTTTATCTAGTATTTTCATCAGAAAGAGTAAACAACAGCTTTTGAATTCATATCACTCATTAACAATGAGTGTGTCCTGGGTGTACCTTTTCTTCTTCCATCACCATGCTTTTAGAGTCAATCCCCCACTTCCTAGGCTCACGCTTAGTTTCTTTGGGAAGGTACGTGAGAACTTAGGCGGCCAGTTTTTTGCCTTCGCAAATTAAAAGCAATCCAAAAAGCTTAACTCAGCTTCTCAGCACCTGGAAAGCATCTCTCTCACTTTGCAGCAGATTAGTATGACAGCTCCACACACTGTATGATAAAAACGAATGTGGGGCTTCCCTGGTGGCGCAGTGGTTGAGAGTCCACCTGCCGATGCAGGGGACACGGGTTCGTACCCTGGTCCGGGAAGATCCCACATGCCGCGGAGCGGCTGGGCCCATGAGCCATGGCCGCTGAGCCTGCACGTCCGGAGCCTGTGCTCCGCAACAGGAGAGGCCACAACAGTGAGAGGCCAGCGTACCGCCAAAAATCAAACAAACAAACAAAACGAATGTGACAAGCACAATTACCTAAAGTAAATTTACTCTTCCTGCCACACATACACACAAATCTAAATTTTAGAGATAGAATTGAAAAAAATAAGTCCGAAATCAAAATTTAAAAGTTCAAATGTTTTTAACTAGCATTTTTTTTCTAATGGATATTTAGCCTGTAAAACTCCTTTTAAACTAAACCAGTTTCCAAGGGTAGCAGATAAAGAATGTGACAAATAACAAGTGGCCTTCAAATAGAAATATACTACCAAAAAATATATAAAACACGGAATCCAGGTGAAAAGGACATTTAGCAGTGTCCAGAAATACTGAAAAAGTGGTGGAATTTTCTGAGGCATCTGAATTTTGCAAGGGAATTTTAAATGAGTAACAAGCAAACAGTCAAAATGAAATCTAGTTGGGGAAAGTGACAGACCCTGGCTTCTACCTATCAAGATTTATGGAAGTAAAGGGTCTTTAGGAAAAAAAAATGGACAAGCATATGCTAGTTATACTATGTGGCTGCTTGGATTCTTCTGTAACAAGTGTTCAATTCATATAGTTTGTGTTATGTTAAAGTAATCATTTTCATTTGAGATCTTGGGTCAGTTGTTTATTCATTTCCAATGAGCCCAAGATGATGCCTTTTCTTAAAAAAAATAAAATGCAAATAGTCTTCAGTTTAAAATGTGGTCTGTATAATATTTTAGAAGGTCAAAGTATTGTAAAAATAAAAAATAACAAAGAGTGCCAATGGTGGCCAGCAGACTTCCAGAATGGTCCACAAGAACCCTGCCCTGGGGAGTACATAGTGTAATTCCCGACTTGAGTGTGGACATGAATACAGTGGGAATTTCCATGATTAGGTTACACATCAGTTGACTTTTAATTAATCAAATGGCAGATTATCCTGGGTGGGCCTGACCCCATCAGGTGAGTCCTCAGAAGAGGGATTGGGCCCCTCCTGAGGTCCGTTGGCTTTGAAGATGTAAGCTACTATGTTATCAGAGGGTCACAGAGCTAGAACCTGAGTCAGACGCTGCCAATAAAGTGGGCATTGTCAGTGAGAAAGCAGGAAACTCGGCTGTACAGCAAGAAAATGGGGACCTCAGTTCGATGACCCCAAGGAACTGGATTCTGCCCACACCACGTGAACCTGGATGAGGACTCCAGGCCTCATAAGAGACCCCAGCCCAGCTGAAAACTTGGTTTCAGCCTAGCAAGATCTGAGCAGAGAACCTGGCCATGCCATGCTGGGCTTTTGACCTGCAGAACTGGGGTAACAAACGGGAGCTATTTTAAGCCACCACATTTCTGGTAATTTGTGGCGCAATATGAAACTAACATACTAACGTTCTAGACACTGGGAATCAGTGGTTATGAGCGTATTCCAGACTTCCAGTTTAAGGTGGCAGAACATTCTATTTCTTCTCTTGAAAATCCAAAACAGGGAAAGGGGGAAAAAGTTAAAAAGCAGCCCCATTTTCAATGCAAGTAAAAAGGTATTAACTATAAACCACACTACCGTGTATGAAGATGGACGGTGCGGGGAGCGATAAATCATGCCTTAGCAGAGGAGGAATCAGACCTCACAGCCTGGAGAGCTCGTGCAGCCTACAATGACTTCTCACTGGAAAGTGGGTGACAACGGGGTACCAGGGGTGCTGGCTGTTTCAGTTGTACACAGACCTGTCTTTCAGCTCCGTCCTGAACAGACTCGGTGACAAGAGGCAAAGAGGAGGGAGGAGGAATGTTCCCAGAAATGACAGCTGGGGGACTACATGCATGATAAAACCGCCAGTCTTCCCATCCAGCCAACTTCAAAATAAGAGCAACGGTATTTCTCAAGCTGGAAGTGCGAAGTCCCTCCTCTGGAGAAATAGATCCTTGAAGTAAAAGACCTATAGATATCAGCAATGGTCATCTACTAGTTTTGACCACGTCCTAAGAGGCACTTTATAAATCCATGAGAGGCCACACTTGTTTCCCCTCTTTTCTTCGACCTTCTTAACCTTGGGGCCTTTATACTAGCTCTTCTGCCAGGAATGCTGGTGCACCAGGTGGCCCTGTGGCCTCATTCTCCCTTATCAACTGCAGGTGTTTATTCAAATGCCAGCTTGCCATTGAGGTCTTCAGCTTTCACCTCCCATCCCCCATCCACCCCACCACTTTCCTTCCCCAATAGCAATTTTTCTCCTCAGCACTCATCACTCCATACTCTGCTATGAAATATCTTATTGATTCATCATCTCCCCTTGCCACCTACCCTCCCCCCATGTAAAATCCAAGGAGACAGAGAATTTTTGTCCATACAGAACAATACTCAGTAAGTGAACAAAAGATTTTTTGAATAAATTAATAAAATAGTCACAAATTCTAAAAAATAAGTAAAAGAAAAATTAAGGCAATTAAGAAAATGAGAACGTTACAAAGTAAATGGAAATAAACATCACATGTTACTTAGCTCTGTGGTGAATGTTTACATCATCAAAACAATGAAAACACTATGTGTGAATTAAACCAAAAAGGAAGGTGTAACTAAGGCGAGGATAACAAGAGCAATGGAGGTTTACAGGTTACATGATCTGCAATTCCTAAAATTAGTGACTCAAGAAGTGACAATACATACACTTAAAAATTTGAAAGGAAAAATGAGAAAACAGCTTAAAGGGTTGTAAGTGGTTATAGCAGAGTGCCTGAGTTTGCTGGTTTTGGTTATATGTATTTTAGCTCTCTTTGATGTTTAAACTCTGTATATATATCGTTTAATAAAATAACAAAGGCATTTTACCTAAAGGGAAACTGTGTCTTTGCAAAGTTCTAAGAACGCTTGATTCTGTGTAATTCGTATCACAGTGGCTGGCACATGGTCTGTACTGAACAAATATTTGTGGGACGGAGAGATGATTTTGACTATCAATACACATGGAAGATGGCTTCTGAGTTTCACGTTAAATCCTATAGAAGTATGATGTGTTCTTTGACAACAGAAAGATAAAATACTTCATAAAATGCTTTGTTTTTGATATAAATCATAGGATAAAACCATAGATGCGTTTCAATTATGGCCAAGAAATAGCAATAAAATTAAAAATGCATAAGAAAAGTTTTCTTGACGTTTTAGTTAGAAAACACTTATTACATAAGAGTGCCATTTGCCTCTATACCTATAGTTTTGAGCAGTAGCACGTAGCTATATACTGCCACCTAGTGGCAACATCTGTAAGTACAGTCTGGTTTTGGCAACTGCAAAGAAACTCTTCGTATTTAAGCCAAAAAAAGCTATATCCATCCTTCTATCCATCCGTCCGTCCAGCCCTTCTTTCTCAATTCATTAACTGAATCCTGAACAGGAGTATAAATACGGAGGAATAACAGGCAGTAAAGCTAAAGTATTTTATTAATAATTTATTGTCAGTAAGAAAGACTGGCTAATGGTAGTTTTCAGTAAAAACCTTTACAAGACCATTGCATCACAAATATACAGACACTATAAAAACTGTGTCATGGTGGTTTTGGTTCTAAACAGTCTGCAGAAGGTCCCCATTACACTTTCCAATAATGAAAAATCTTTATAATTCTAAAATACAGCAACCCATTTAAGACATGTCCATGTATGGGATCTGTCCTCATCCTATGTACAGATAGAAATGAATGACTATACTGAAATGTATTAACGAAACATCATACTTCAGTTGAAAAGGATACAGAGTGAAACCCTGGTTATATTAAAAAATCAGGGTGCTAGGTAATGACACTAACACCACCAAAATTCGGTCAAAAACAAATGCACAAAGTATCTTGAAATTCTAGTTGAAACTGAAAAAAATCAAATCTGTACATAAAATTTACAAAAAAAGACAGGAAAATTAAAATAATCAAATCTATATAAATACATGAATCATGCTAACAAGATAGTAGGACTGATTTTCATTTTATTATTTTAACACAGACAAATGTAAATACAAAAAAGATGCTCAGAAATGGCACAGCCGACGTAAACCTCACCCAAAGACAGAAGGTTAGGACGCTGGAAATGGCTAACAGGTCACAAGGTGCGGGATTCAGTGCAGCCATGCCCGTTTCAGCTCACCGAAAAAAGCGCTTAAGCACTGCTGCAAAGATCAATGCAGGAGATCACTGACAGAATCTCTAGGTTCATTACGGTTCAGGCACTTTGCGGGGAGTCTGAGCGTCAGACCTCCGTATGCTGTTGAGAATCGAGTGGAGGGATCGTCACCTCTTCGAAGTGGCCATCATCTCCACTCTCGTAGTCACTCATCATGACCTCAGACTCGACTTCACAGCACGCAGACACGTCAGAGCAGGAAGCTGTGGAGGCGTACATGGACACGGGCATGTTCTCTACAGTGGAGGCTTCAAAGCTCCTTTGATACCCTGGAGGGTAAGGGGCGTAGGGTTCTCTGCGAGCACTGTTCTCACCAGGGCCTGCTTTCTGAGGTTCAGACATATCGGCAGGATAGAAATTGGGCAGATACTGATTCAAGTTGAACCTCTGCCGGCTTCTCGATGAAGAGCCCAGGCTCCCTGCAGCGGGCATGTCTCTGGGAGGGTGTATGGATTCAAACTGGTCACTGAATTCTGGAGGTAAGGGTGGCAGCTCGTCAGGCACGGGGAAGTCCTCTGGCGGGGGTGGAAAGTCACTCTCAATGTCGTAGCCTCCAGGGTAATAGTCTGTATCGATGGCGTTTGGATCTGCTGAGTACAGGGGCGTCTGCTCATCAATCACCTCATAATTGGGGAACTCTTGTATATCTGGCAGAGGAACACTTGGCATCCAATCTGATGTATCCCAGTGATACCCTTGGTAGAAAAGAAAACAGACTTCAATGTGTTTTCCTCCCAAGAGTGCGTACCACGGAAAAAGGGCTCAGTGTATGCAACACACACAGGTGCAAAGGCATTCCCACGCACAGAGGATCAACATTCTGGAAACCCTTGGTCTCTGCTTTGAAGACGTCCTCCCATCCCGAACCACTTTTGAGAACCTCTATGAATTAGGCTCTGGCTCCTAAAATGTGGACTTACAGTTTTATGTAAGCACCTAACACTCAAGTGTTAGGTGCTTACATAAAGAAATGGAAGTTTTAACAGAAGCAGTATGCTAGCATCTAGATACATGCACTTTTCTTCAAATGATTCCAATCATCCTTTCAGCTTTCCTCTTGTAATTTAGAACCCACTGCTCTTTAGAAAGAAGAGTATTAGTTCAGTCTTAGGACATTGGTAAAGAAATTTTGTCCTTTCAGAAAGAAGTCTCTATTTAGTAAAATATTAAATGTCACTTGATCTGCACTACTTGTCGTTAAAAAAAAAAACAGTAATTAATGTGAGTCTTTAAATAAAAGCAATCTTTAGCATGCTAAAATTTAAAAAATAAATTTCCTTTATAATAACATTACAAGTTTAATACTAAAAATTGTACTACTTTTCATTAGCCCTAAGAAAAACAATGAACTATATTAATACAGTGACATATCAAAGCATGCCTCAAAATCAAAAATGCAATTAAACATTGAAAACTGTAACGCAATCTTTGATAAACTACAATTTTTGTTACTTTAGAAAGGACTAAGGATCATTTTCAACTATATATTATTAAAAAACCCTCCCCCCACCCCGGGATTTTTGAAACCCTTTGGCAGACGGGCGAAGGTGAGGCAGTCGCGTTTAGAATGCAGGGCACGAACAACTATGCACTAGTTACTGCGCAAACACATGAAGCAAGTCAGCACTGGGTCGAACCTCCGCCAATTTGTTTTAGTGAATTATCAGTGAACAACTGGCATGCATAAGTCACCTCTTGATTTGCTGAGGTCAGGAGCAGCAAAAGACTCTTTTGGTTGCAGAGTAGAGAGAAAAGAAAACATTTGTAATTAAAAGAGAAGGACGGCTGAAAAGGCAATAAAGATAAGTACATAACACAATATAAACTGTTTATAAAGGCCCAGTCAGCCATGTACTATGCCTCTAAGCCATTATCTATGAAAATTCCAAATGGTGAGAAATTTGTGTAGCACAAATAAAATGGGACGTGGGAGTGCAGGGAAAAGATGAGTGATGATGAAGTAGGGACTGTGCCTGGAAACTCAGGATTTTACTTTCTTTCCCTTGTTTCTGGCAAGCTAATCCTGAAAACACAAAATTTTGTTAGGAGTAACTGAAAGTCTATAGGCTCTAATAAAATGTAAACTGGTAAGGAATTTAAATGACACCCTCATGTTACTGAGAAATATTATGAAAGGCTCGGTCACATCAGGTCCCTTAGGTGATAACCCAAATACAAAAGCCACAGTGACACAAGAGACACATACTTTCCAGCACAGCAAGGCCTGCACATGGCCATTAAATTCAGAGAAACCATGAATGCACTTAGGCACTTATGAAGAGCCAAGAGAAAATCTCTCCAAACCTTGCCCAGTTTGAATACGATTTTATACCTACGTTGTCCACCTTTCCTTGGAGACACCATTAGCTGCCTGTAGCCCAGAGCCCACCCATCCACTTGCTCTTTCAGGGTCCTCGTTTTGCATGTGGAACTCCAGCATGGAGCAGAGACAGTCAGTGTGAATCACATGACCCTGGGCAGGTTGCTTACCCTGGCTAAGCTTCAGGCTCTTATCTTTGAAATGGGGGTGGAAATCCCTTAGCTATTTGGAGGATTAAATCAGATAATGTAGGTCAAGCACTAACTGTTGGCGACCATCATGATTCTTATTATTGTGGAAGTAAGAATCATGGTGATTAGTGACTTTCTCAACAAGGCCAATGCCTTCTGTGCATTCAATGATGTTCTTGAAAATCCTTGTGATAAAATAATTTGGAACAAAGAAGATTTGACAGTTCTCTTCTAGGAATTTAAATCAAAAACTGTGGTGATTCTAAAACATGAATAAGCCAGTATTTAGCTAACTGTATCTATAGAATTATTCTGAAAAGCCTGCTAAAAATGTGGTAGTTTCTTTTTAAAAAGAGGATTGACAATTTTTGTTACTAAATAGGCACTCAATAATTCTTAAATTTAAACTAGCTTTCAATTTTAAACTCAATTAATATTTAATATGCCGAAAATATTTTTCAGTGAAAGAGACTGCAATGAAAGAACCACTCAAACTTTGCTTCTTTAAACTCTGTCAATATTTAAAATATTAGAATTTCATCACGGGAAAACTAAAATTCAGTCGACAAAATATAGATCGCCTTCTGACTCACCAAGCAAAGACATGGTACTTCTTAGGAAAGTAAGTGTAAGGCTCATTGGTAACTGTAATTAGTAAACACGGAAACCTCACCCCTGCCCCATCCCATCAAACTTGGCCTGAAACCATCCTTCTCTCACCTAAATCTTGGTGACACATATGTCCTAGCAAAAAGGATCCCCTAAGCTTTATGTACTCTTGGTGGTCTACGCCAGTAGTTCTGAAAGTGCGATCCTTAGACCAGTAACACCAGAATTAACTGGGGGCTGGTTGGGAATGCAGATTCTCAGGGCCCCATCCAGACCTCCTCAATCCTTGAAACCTTGGTTGCTGGGGCCTAACAATTAGGGTGTTCACAAGCTCTACGGTGATCTGACTTACAGTTTGAAAATGCCTGTGCAGTCTGCATGTGATTACTTGAATTTCAGTGTATAATAAAGGGCTAATTTAATTTAAGGCAGGTATTTCCTATAATTTTGACCAGATAAACCTTCCTATTCAATGATTTTCACTCAACCAAATATAAAAATATACCTTATCATGTTCTATAATTTTCCTTGACCATACCTCAGGGAAAATCCAAAAAGGAAGAGTCAGTTACAGTTAATTATAAAAGCTGTGTGTTATTTAGTTTTACTCCTATTCATATGAAGATAATTTTTTATATTAAAATTTTTTTAGATAGAATTACTTCTAACTTCTTACTATTGTGCCATGTAAAGGCAGCTGTCAAGACCCTATAGGTGACTTCTGGCGTCTGTGTAAATTCACTGTGAACGGCAAAAAGTAACAAAGACTACAGACACACATATATAACAATATTTTGCAATGTATCTGCATTATTAATGTACACGCCTGCACAAAATAAAAGTTTTCAACCTCCTCAGAACCATAACATAAGGACTTTGTACAACACTACAGTAGGCAAAAGCACACAACTCCAGGGACAGTCACTGTGAACACAAACACAGAGCACAGGCATGACTATACCTTCTTTAGTCACCGTGTCAACTACAGCATTGACATGGTGTATTACAGTCACTATGGAAGCTTGTAAAAAGGTACAAAAGGAGTAAATTAGGAAAATCTTCAGTCAGTCAGGAGACAGTGCATTAAACAGCATTTCTTTATATTATATAACTTCTACCTCACAGTTTTAAAAATGTGACTACTTTAACATAGCTATGTAATTATGTATGACCCTTGCACTCTCTTCCTTATATGTCTCAGAGATTTTTCTAATCAAGCTATATATTTGTATTATTAATCAAAGGAACAGAGTAACCACATGATACTGTAATTTAGGAAAAAAATTTTTAGCCATAAATTTGTGTCACAATGACAATTATGAATCAAGTCATGACAAAACAATCCTTATTTTAACATCCCATGGGCAAAAGATTTCATATTCAAAGAGTCAAATCCTTGCTAAGCCAATTTTCTGGGACCATTTAATAAACTCATTCTTCCCAGGAAAAAAAATTAAGAGCTATATAATAAGGTAAACTATGCAACATAAAAATAAAAATGGCTTTGTCGCTGTTCTATGTACTCCCACCCCAATTTTCTTGTTTTTCTGCAGATGAGTTAACAGCTGGTGAGCTAACATCCAGCAGAGAAATGCAGACTGTCTGCCTGGCTGTTTCCTGTGTAAATTCCCTTTCATTTGTTTTCCCTTTCATTTGTTTTAAAGCATCTATGCCAAAATAAATAAGTATGCATGTAATAGGCAGAAGGATGGCCCTCAAAGATGTACACAACCTAATCCTGGGAACCTGTGAATATGTTACTATCCTCGGCAAAAGGGACTTTGCTAATATGATTAGGTTAAAGGTCCTGAGATGAAGGGATTTTCCGCTATTATCTGTGCAGGCCCAATGTAATCACAAGGGTTCTTAAACGGGGAGCAACTTTCCCAGCCTTGGCTGGAGGGAGCTGTGACTAGAGCAGAACGGCCAGGAGGTGCACTGCTGCTGTCTTTGAGGGATGGAAGAGTAAGCCATGAGCCAAGGAGCGGGGCAGCCTCTAGAAGCTGGAAAAGGTACAGGAAAGGGATTCTCCCCTGGAGTCTCCAGAAACAACCTTACTGACATCTTAAATTTAGCCTCCTGAGACAAGCATCAAATTTCTAAACTACAGAACTGTCACAAATTTATCTTGTCTCAAGCCACTATGTAATCTATTATAACAGCCTTAGAAAACTAAAAAATATAATTTAAATACTCTCTTAATACAAACTTTATGACTGATAATGATTAAAATTATGATAAAGATTAAAATACAGACACTCCTGGAAAATGTATTTTTTCTCACATTGTATTATCTGGCAATTAATTTTCTTAACTAATTTGACCACAGCTTATTAAAGCTATTTAAGAGTATTACGAATGATGTTTCAGTGAAAAAAACTAGGAAAAGAAAGAAAATGCTGACAAAATTCTGAGGTTTACGAAGAGCATTTAAGGACAAAGATATAAATTATTACATAAATCAGCAACTCTAATGTTTTAGAATTAAACCTACTGAAAGAAAGAATTCTACTTTGTTGTTGGTTTAATAAGCAGTTATGTCCATATACTTTATCACTAGATAATAAACACAGGTGTACCTTGATATCATACAAAACATGCTTAAAGTGATTCAGGAATGAATGGCACGTACTTATGGCCATCCTTAGTTTAGAAAGGTCTCTTCAGTGTATTATGGGCTATTTACTCTGGATTCACAAACAATTCAGTTTACACATGGCATTTTTACGCAAAAAAATTACTAATTCTGACATTCAAAAATTTCCATTAAAAACTCACTTTTTTGTATTTCTGAATATTGACAGTTTTCTCTACTGGTATGTGCTAATATGGTAAAGCTGGTTATCAATGCGATTTACCCTCAGATAAACAAAACTGGCATCAATGATCCCACCGTCAAACCTTCTTCATTAGAAATATAATCAAACTTACTAGCAATCTCTTAAAGTGTGCTCTCAGTCAGTATGCTCTGATCCAAATGGGAGCTGAGGCCGCAGGGGAGTTGGGGGAAGAGACAAATAAAACCTTGTAATACCACAGGTGCCGCTGAGGTTGCATGTTTCAGACTATGGCTTCTCCTCTTAGGGCTGTGAGGGTGTAAGTGTGTGTGCGTGGGGTATGCTCAAGGAAGTTGTTACAAGGGTTTTTTAAAAATCCACATAACTTCTATAATATTCACTGTTGTGGAAAAAAGGTCAAAGTGAAATTAACCAATCAGACAGACATTACCTTTCAATTAATTATATTTTCTTCCTTATTACTGACCAGTTGCTACAGTTCCAATACCTAAGCACTAAGAACATTTTAAACATTTTCCCTAGTTGGAAGTTCATGCAAGGCTGTCCAAGGTATTGTCTAACTGTGGTCCGAAGTGAAACGTGAAGACCGTGTGAAACCAAACCAGGGGCACCGGGCGCGTCTACCTGACTGCGCTGCATCACGTGCGCAGGGCTGTGGACAGCCAGCAGGGGACCAGGGCATTTCAGGTGTGCGTTTACTCACCGTTGTCGTCACACGGCTCCGACTGGAAGGAGCTCAGGGACTGCACTTCACACAGGCTCTCCCGGGCACTGTACGGCTGAGAAGGCTTTTCCTCCAGTGGCTTTTTGGAGAGACAAGGATCAAGATCCACTACTTTAGCTAAAAGGAGGAGATGACAGACAAACCAGTTACACTCTATGAAGGCAGAGACTCTGTTTTCTTCCCTGCTGTATCCTGACGCAGGGCAAGCGTGACCCACAGACTGCCTGGCTTTTGCTTAGTGAAAGAACATCAAAAGAAAAAAACCAGAAACACCTGAAAAACAAAACCAAAAACCTACAAATATGGCTTGCAGACTCACACAGAATAGAAATTCGCAATAAACCTGCCTGTGGACACCATTAGACAACCTGGGGAATTAATTTGAAAATGGTACCTATAGCTTTTTTCAAAGCATCAAATATATGTCAGGCCACTTAAATACCGTCACTTTCTCTGGGCACGTTAGGAAAAAAATCCTATTACGCAAATGCCCTCCCAACTGTTTTGTCATAAAAGTCCCTCCACATTATAGTTGAGAATCCACATCAATTACAAAGATAAAATGATCTTTCCAGATTAACTGGAACATGACTGGATTCAATTCCTAAATTAAAATAATATCGCAGCCACAGTGCTCAGCCAGGGCTGGGGCATCAGGAAAAGCTTTCCAGTCGTCCCAGAGCTCTACAGGGTCTGAGCACATTCACCACTCACAAAGACTCCGCAGTTTGATCTGAACCACCAGAAGCTCTGGCAGAACTTGTCACCTCACTGTCCATTGCTCAGCGACATTGTATCAAGATTTAGAAAGTTGTTCTTACTATCATAGTCGAAGTCCCAGTTCGGCTTCTGGATTGAATCACTGTCAGAAGGAGAGTTTGAAGGAGGCGGCGGAGGCAGGTTTGGGGCCACGCTGCAGACGGCCACGGCCTTCCGGTGTCCGTGCACAGACTCGGGGTTAAAGGTGCTGAATTCGGGGTGCTCGGGTATAGCCGATCCTTCGAAGGAGTTTCGGTCAAGGTTGTTTCTAGAGTCGCTTGGAATGCTTGGAGTGTAGGAGATAGGACGGACAGGCACCTGGGGTGGTACGTCGGAGTACATGTTCTTATTTAGCTTTGAGTCAAAATACGGTCTTTGCAAGAAAGCTGCGCTGGGTCCCAAGTGTTTGTCCTCAGCTTTGGGCTGGTGTTTCTTCTTTCGACTAATCATCTTGCGGCAGAAGATGAACAGCAGCACCAGTAGAAAGATGCCCGTTATGAAAACCACGATGCCGATGCCCTCAGCCAGGCCGATGTCCCAGGGGGTCGACACGTATTGGTTTGGGGTGACGTCCTCACAGTGTCTTCCTCTGTACTCACGGCTGCAGTTACAGTGGTAGGAGCCGTGTGTGTTCTCGCAAAGGGCTCCATTTCGGCAGGGGTTGCCAGCACATTCGTCAATGTCACTCTGACACCTGCCAAGACAGCCCAGATTGAGGAGAGAGGCCTTTGCAACATGAGCCAGAACGTGCCAGGCCTATGACTCTTAGAGACTAACGGCTAAGTCCTCCTGAATAAGATCCACCCAAAAATACACTACTGACAACAATAACTACACAAAAAACCTTCCGTGGAGTAATGAATCATTTGATTCCATACTCTGTACATTTGGGAGATAAACATTACGCCAAGTCAATCTTTAACTGCCAGTTTTCTAAGGATTCAACAGATTACTAAATCAAACTCATAGGCTAAACCTCAGTTTGTCTTGATTTCTGATCCAGAAATTTAGAATGTGCATGATAAACGTACTTCAAGAGACTAGGTTAAATTTCTCAGAAAATGTTCCTGTTTGGAAAAATGACAGTTCCATAAAGCACGTAAAAAGGCTAGAAAACTCTGCCTTCCATTTTTATATGCTTCTCCCTGTTGAAAATCTCCCTCAGACCCTCACCCTTACGGACTCGTCCGCACGCGATCCCCTCACCCCCGCCGCCCAGCCTCCCGCCTTCCCAAATGCGCATATTTTGCACCTGCGCAGATCCACCTGCCACTTGGAACCCTTCCTCCTTTAACAAAATGTATCTGCTTAACATCCCCTACACTCACCTAGCATTACAATTTTGATTACTGAGACATTTTTGTTAAATACATTGAGTATTGTCTAGAATTAAAGTAGACTCACAAATGAAAACCATGTGACTGATGACAAAGTTCAAGACCACAACCACTACTAGAGCAAAACCTTATGTGAATCTCTGTAGGCAGGTCGCGCTTCAAGCCTTCTAACAAGACTGATATGACGGTGAAGGCTTTTCTAGATGTACAGCACTAGGCACTTACAAGTAACAAGCACCGAGTAAGACTTCACCTATTTGGTTTAAAAACTAAGGTGAAATGGCATCTGGAACTAAAAGCCACTTCTTTCAAGGTCAACAACAGGCACCTTAGTGCCTCATTTTCTTCACCTGGAAAATAATTCTCACCTCTCAGGATTATGGAAGGCTCACAGAAGATACTGAGAGAGTGGGAAAAGATTTTAGATGCTACATAAATGATGAAAAAATGTCATCACTCTCACAGACAGGTAACAACTCCTTGGGAGTCTGCTTTAAAAAACACAATCTTACTCATTCCTTTAACAGTTACTTCCTGCAAGCACCCATACATTCTTTGTTCATAAATAATGTTTTTAAAGTATAGAAGCATTATATATTGAAAGCATATAATATTTCAAGCATTATAATATTACATTCATTTGGCTCAGTATTTTTTTATTTTAAAGAATGAAAAGATAAATTATGCAAGGAGCCATTATGAGCTCGGAATTCCAATCCTGAAGCAACACAGTCCAAATTAATGAAGTTTTGTTGCATCTGCTGATCACTGTGAAACTATAGAGAGGTGCAGATACAAATCTTGAAAGAAGCCAGTTACCTTTCTCCCCTAAAACCCAAGTCACACTGACAGACAGCACCATCCAAACTGTCAAAACATGTTCCACCATTTTTACAGGGTTCATCTTTGCAGTAGGGACTAAGCTGGCACCTAAAGAACAGGGAAAAAATAAACATAAACCGAATACTTAAATGGTAACAAGTGAATGTATTTTACAAACATGATGACATTAGAAACGCTAATGTTAAAATTAACTATGAAAGCTAAGAAAACTCTACATACCTCTGACCAGTATATAATCCTCTACATTGACAAAGGAAGTCTCCATTGTCCACAATGCAGGTGCCACCGTACAGGCAGGGGTTGGAGGAACACGGATTGATGCCCACCTCACAATAGGTCCCTATGTACAAGGCACTGCATTTGCAGTAATAACCTATATCAGCAAAAGGGAACAAAAAGTCCTATCATTCAGTAGCTCAAAAAATAAGTCTCAGTATATTCGTTTTTACTTTTAAGTTTAGGTGAAGATTTAGCTCTCCAAGACCTGTAAAAAACCTAGTAAAATTCCCATTCCCTCGGAGTAAAAAGTTGTCTAGTGCTGGTATCACCAAAACACAAAGAACTGAAGAGAAAACTCATAACCAGCTCTAGTTCACCATAATTTACGAGGGGTCCAAGGCCTTCTGGAAAACCACTTCTACTCCCACCTAGAGCGAGCAAGGCTAGCAGTCCCCTTGCTGGGCCACTGGATAAAAGGAGGCCTCAAGAAGAGCTACGTGGAACCAGTTCTAACCCCCAGGTCAGTGTCCGTGTGGCCGGAGAGGAGTTCAGGGTCAGCTGTGGCTTCCTGCGGCTGCTGGTGCAGAACGAGACGTGTTTGGAAACACGAAGCAGCGCGGCCGCAGCTCAGCGGGAGAGAAACTGTCCCCTCCAGCCGCTGCTGGGATGCATTCAAAATCTCACTCCGCTAGAGCATCATGTATGCTACTCAGATCCCATGCTGGCTGCAGGATCTGACAAAACTGATTGAATAAGAAGAGAAAGAGCAGAAATACAGGGGGAACTTCCCCTCAAGCGCATATGCGTGTAACGTTTAAAGAAGGCTCACGTGTGAAGCTTACCTCCAGTGGGTGAGGGGTGGCAGGCGCCTCCGTTCTGGCATGGGCTGCTCGAGCAGTCTTCCGTAGCTGTTAACAAGCACCCAGGAGACACGTCCACCGATTCTTCAATGTGTGCGTAGCTCCTTGGTTTGTTATTTAAAGGGAGTTCCTGCCCATTCAGATAAATGGAGTCCATACAACCCCTGAAACCACTGCCAATCTGGGGGCTTCTTCCATGCCGTGAGCCCTGCTGACGGATGTGGCCACCAAAAAACACATGGCTATCCAGGTTGAGGGTTTTCAGTGTCCCCGGGGCTGTGCCTGATGCGGTGTGGACTTGGTCTAGAACCAACCTGGCATAGTTTCCATTCACTTCAAGAGACACCGCATGCCACAGCCCATCGTTGACCTGGATGCTCTGGACAGAGACGATGCCTGGGCCGCTTCCACAGTCGAATTTGTACTGCAGCCTTCCGTTGTGGATCTATGACAGAAACAATCACTGTTCACGTTACTCTCATGGAGTCTTCATGCACAGTCTCAGATCATGTTTGGTGACTGAAGGAAGAAAGTAAGCCCTCGCGTTAAAGTACTACAGAACACACGCTCATTCATCGTACAGATAATAAAAATGGACCTTTCAAGGATATCAAATTTCAACCGCGTATCCTAAAGGCGTCGTGTAATAATGAGCTGTACCAAACAACAACCAAAAATAGCATCAGGTTTTATCAGAAGTCAAAAATGAATCATGCTAAAAAAAAAAGTAGGCAAGCTAATTATCACTTCAAGCATATGTGCGACCTTTCTATAAACTCCCTATAATATTACTAAGGTGTAATATCACTTAGAGTTTGAATGTTAACAGTCACAGGTACCTAAAAATGTTTGTAAAAAACAGAAGTAAATGTCTATGTCACCGCAGAGCAAAAAGAGCTTTTCATTCTACAAAACTTATGTGTAAGTATCAATGAACCATTTAAATGAATAACTCAACCATTTCATTTTGCTTATCTTATTCTTTTAAAAAAATGGACAATCTGAACATAATATGGAATTTATATTTTTAAAGTCTCCCACAATCTGAGGTACAAATATGCAAAAACGCTCACCTCCAAGATGCTGTAGTCAGTCCCGCGAGCGTACATGACAACCGCGTGGGTAGAGTATGTTCGCAGCCTCATGGTCAGTTTCATCTCTAACTTGTTTTCATTTTCCATTAGACGATATTTCACAAAGCTGTTTCCAGTAAATGTTACGGATGAACTCCCTGTGAATCACAAAGAGGAAAAAATAAATCAGAATCAAGTTTAAATATTTTTATAAGTGTGTCCCCACACTCCCGCCCTAATTCAAGTTTTGGATCTAAGATTATAACATTATAAAATGCAATGCAATGGGAAATGTCTACTTGTTTAATAAACAGCACAGCATAACTGGATTTCTATTTGGAGAGAATAAGTTAGACTACTGTATCACAGAGAAATGAATTCTAAGATAATAAAAGACCTAAATATGAAATGTCCATTATAAAATTATTAGAAAGCAGTTTAGGAAAATACATAGCCTGAAGGTGGTTTGGGAAACCTTCTCAAGCAAGACATAAAACAATTCCCATTCTACAAAAATGAAGAAAATAGTATCAATCCAGAGATTAAAATTGTTTTGTAAAATTAGGCAGAAGTGACAAAATAAAAATTAGACAAATCAAAAGATCAATAACATACAGACAGCGTTATGCAGATGTTTTCTGATCAAAATACACAAAGAGCTCCAGAGCTCCAGACATTAAAGATAAGAAACAAATAATCCAGATAATTACGCACATAACAGGAACGGGCCAGTCACAGAAGAGGAAGCGCTAACAGGCAATGAACAAATGAAAAGACTGCTTTCACAAGTAGCCAGAGAAATGGCAATTAAAATAATTAGATACCATTTCATGCTTATTAGATGGGGGGATCTGTTTTTTAATTGAAAACCTTCAATATTAGCAAAAGAACGGGGAATGAGACCTTCACACATGACTGGAAGAAATAGGCACTGGCACAGCTTTTGGGAAACTAACATAATGGTATACCTAAAAATTAAAAGTGTAGTTCACCTTTGACACAGGTAAGTCCCAGTTTTACAATCTACTGTACAGAAATGAAAGCACCAATATGTAAGGATACACGTTTAAGGATTCTTCTTGTAACACAGGAGAACATAAACTGAATCTCTACACGTAAGCACCATGTTGAATAAATGATGGTACAGCTGTGCTACAAAATGCTGTACAACTATTAACAAGCATTAGGACTTGGCAAGATGCTCATCACAGAGGAAAAGAGGACTGTGTTAGATGTAACCACTCCTCAGTTTCTTTAAAAAAAAAAAGATGTGAAAGGAAAAGGAAAATAAATCTGTACGTATGGGACTGTATGTTCATATGAGCTCTGATGAGAGAGGAAGAGCATCCTTCCTCCTCAGGAGGAGTTCAAGAGGAAGGAAAAGCTACTACTTTATTCGCCTCTATGTCTGACCTGTTATAATAAACATACTTTACAATACTTTTCAACTCCAATAAAGAAGAAAATAAGAAACTCTGAAAGTTACTTTTTTAAATACAAGTACTCTTAATTATTGAACCTCTCACCTGGGCACTGGCCAAACTTGCCACCTGGACAGACGCAGCTGTATGTCTCCTCTCTGGGATCAGTGACACATTCAGATCCTTCAGGGCACGGACTGTCTTCACATCCATGATGGACAAGTGGGCATTTTCCCCCTTTGTTTAAAAAAAAAAAAAAAAGGGCAGGGGGAAAGCTAATTAATAGGAATTTCAAGAGAACGATCTTTAACGTATAGCCTTCAAAGGTCGTACATGAAATGACCTGCACTGCCTACTTCCACGTGCGTATGTGTGTTACCTGTGCAGAGACACACAGCTGTCCTACGGTGGCGCGGGGTCACAAAGCTCAGTCTGGCCGTGCTATGCGTTGACATCGCACTTTCATCCACGGACACCTTTTCATCGCAGAATCTCCAGGGGCAATCCAGCCCTGCACAGAGCTTCTGGAACACATCCAATATCCTCACACCACTGATCTCCTCAATATCCGTCACGGAAGAATTAATCTTGTGCAGAAGTTGTTTTGGTGAGACCTGGGCGCTACCTGATCTCTCTACAAAAAGCAAGATGTCCAGGTGCGGATGAGGCTCCGAGGGCTGCAAGCTAACGATCTGAATGTCACTCCTCCTCACACCCAGGATGTTCCGCAAAGCTCGCTGGAAGTTGCGCCAATAGTCCCCAACGAACTCTTCCGGGGTGAGGTTGGCAAAGCGGACGGCCACGGTCTGGTTCAACATCTCCTGCGTCACTTGTCTGATGTGCACCGTGACATCAGCCGCGGTGGTAAATTTCCCATCCGTTACGCTGACATTGAGGAGGTACTGCCCTACGTCCAGCTTCTTGTGGGCTATCAGCTTGCCCCCCGTGCTGGAGACAGAGAAGAGGCTGCCCATTTGGGGATCGAGGCTGTAGGTTAACGTGTCATACACGTCTTGGTCCGTCGCGTGGATCTTCCCGATGACACCACCTGAGTACTCCTCTCCAAAAGCAGTAATGAAAATCTCTAGTGGCAAAATTGCAGGAGGATAGATGCTCTCTTCAATGACTCTGATGTCAATGTATGTCAAAGATGACAACTGAGGCTTTCCGTTATCTGCCACCTACGAGAAAAGGGAAAAAAAAAAAAAATCACCTTCACCTATGTCGTCGTTTACAACTTAATAAAAATATATTTACATTGTTCAAGTTCTAAAATATTACCAATTGTTAGATATTAGTTCTCCACATGAGAAGTATTATCAAGGGACAGGATAAATACTTCTTTCTAGCCCTTTCACTAATTTACGTTGAAATTTAGCTCTACCAACGTCTATGACAAAGTAACCAAATGAATAAATAAGCCCCCACGAAGTGCCATGGGATAAAAATGAAGGTCTGACTAAAAAACCAGAAAAAGACTATAATTCTAATTCAGTTTTGTCTTCTCATGCAATGCAAGCTGTTTATACAGGACAAGATAACCACCAAAGCAGCTCTTCTCCATATGAGTCCACAACAAAATCAGAAAGACAGACTTCAATACCTTAATGTGCAGTAAGTAATGATCGTTCACTTTCCTATTTATGGCAGCTGCCGTCAGGAGGGCTCCCTGCTGGTTGACTTCAAATGCCCCCTCCTTGTTTCCACTCACAATGCTGAAGAAGAAGGGAGGGCCATTGTGGGAGGAGTCCCTGTCCGTCACTGCCAGCTGCAGCACGCTGAACCCCACGGGCTTATTTTCCTGCAAGAGTAAGAGAACCACACAACTTTCAACAAAACCCCGTATCATATGCACGTTTTCTGTAATATGAAATTTACAGAAAAGAGAGACACTGCCGCTCCATGTGGAAGGAGGAGAGAGGAGGGGTGGTGGTGATGGGAAGGAGGGGGCTGGAGGGGAGGGGGCACGTGAGGAGAAAGGTGTGGGGGGAGTGAGGGAGGGGTGCCGGAAGGGGTGAGGGAGGGGAGGTGTTTGGAGGAGGAGTGGCAGGGAGGAGGGAGGGTAAGGGGCAAGGAGGAAACGCAAGGGCAGAAGGTAAGGTTAACAATCAAGCTGGCGAGAATATCTTAAAAATCAAAGCACAGGGAGAGATGACGGCATCTTGGAAATGCTCATCTTTTAGTATTGGTGGAGACCCCTGTAACGTCACTGTTCCCATTTTTCTCAAAAGTAGTCTTTGGAAAAGGAAGATATTTCAAACGAATCACTGAGGCCAGAAAAGAGCTTATTTCAACAGGGGTGCGTTCAGTGAGGCTTGGGCCCGGGATCACCTGGATGATCAGGCTGTAGTTTCCTCTGGAGAAGACGGGAGCGTTGTCGTTGACATCAGACACGTCTATGTTCACAGTGGTCGTGGTGACTCTGGGTGGACTGCCGTTGTCCGAGGCCTGCACGGTGAGCGTGTAACCCGAAATCTTTTCGGGGAAAAGATAAAGAGAATCATGTCCATTTCCACAAGGCCCAAGCGCAGGGTTCAGCCTGAAGCGTACTTCTGATTACTGGAGGGGCGGATCCGAGGGCCTGCCATTCCCCGTGTCCTGCAGGCGGGCAATTCCCTAGCTTACAAATAACTGATCTGAAAAATGTAATGTATCTGCTCGACAGAAAAAGTTACTAATAGGGATGAGAATCTCCAACGCTTCTCAGAAACGTACTTGTTCCGTTAAACTGTTCTAACTTTGAAAACCTGCAGATCTATTAACAGAAATTAAGACAGAAAAGTAATACAAATGATGAGAGAAAACGTCACATATGTCGAAGGCTGTTGCTTTACTAGTGGCGGGGAAGGCAACTTTCCCTCCGGCCCCAGTGTGACTCTGAGCCAGAAGCAGGCAGACAGCAAGCTGCCTCCCACCCTCGAGGGCTCACTCGTTCTCAACACTCCGCTCACCCTCCCCGCATCCATGTCACTCTTGGATTGTAATCAACTGTCTAAATCTCCCAAGATCCTCTCTTCGGGAACTTCCTACAAAAGAAGGTGAGTTAAGTGAGGTGGCCTCTCTTCCAGGACAGTTTCTTTAAAGCTCTCTCTTCCAGAATGAGCAGTGAAGAGGCCAAGAAGCTGGCTAACCCCAGAGGACGTGCTGCAGAGTGTCAGTCCTGAAAGACGCTCCAACAAAAAGAGGACGACGTAGCTTGGCAGACTCTCTTTTGCCATCTCCCAATGGACGTGAGTATACTAAAGGATCTGAGAAGTGTTTCAGTCAAAAATACTAAGTTTTGTTCTGCCCAGCAGTACTGCAATCCTAAGCATAACAGTCATGCTTCCTAAACTCTGGGAAAGTCCCCGCTCAAAAATAACAGGTCAGAAAAGGAATTAAAGAATGGACTTTGATGAAATATCTCAGCACTATCTCCCCAAATTCTCTAATCTTGGATTTACCCACTACTCTTCTGAAATTGCAGTCTTTATTATCATCGATGCCCTTCCAATTCCCCAAACCAAGGCTCTTTCACTTCTCCTTCACTTCATTACCTCTGAGGCAGCTCCCCTCCTGTCTGTGAGAGCACATGACTAAGTGGATGGATGGATGGATGGATGGATGGATGGATGGATGGATGGATGGATGGATGGACGGACGGACGGACGGACGGACGGACGGATGAGGGGAGGGAGGGCTTGCCTCTCTCCTTATTCACTCACTTTTATCTCAATACCTCAGATCACTTCCATAATCATCTTCAGAGGCATGAACCATAGCTGTATTTCCAGCTTTCAAGTCTCTTAAGTTTGACTAAAATCTCTAAATGCTGGCTGAATAATTTTACTTGAATACGCCACTTTCCTCTACAAATCAGCATCTTGAAAACCACGTTCAAGCACCTCTCCCAGTGCTGAGTTTACGTCCTGTGGCCTCCTACTCGCCTTTAATGGCACCACCCAGTCACAGCAAGACTGAAACGCATCGAGTCCTCTGCCACCTCTGCTTTCTCTGGAGGGCCATAGCTGAGCTCCGTGGACCCTAGTTTTTCCTCTACAAAGTTTCCGCACTTGTCTCGTCATTGCTACTTTCCCAGTTTGGGCTCTTGTTGTTTCATAACTGATGAACTGTCACTGTCCCTCCCACCTCTGGGATAACACTTAGACCTGCTGTAGGACTGGTCTTCAGCAACCACCTCCTGTGCTGTTACACCTGGGCTCACAGCATCGGTAACCACCTAATGCCTGCAGTGCCAGCCTGAACCTACGATCCTGGTTTTGTCTGTGGCCTGTCATCTGTTCCTAAAACTCTTCATCTATCTCTCCTCCCTCACCTGTTTGTACGATCACTCTACTCCAACACAACTGAACAGAATCACCTAAAGACACCCCACGTCTCTTCCTTCCTTCATCCTTGTTCCCCCGGTTCCTCACAGGGAATTCCCTCCTCTCAACACTATGTTTTCCTGAATCTCTGCTATTATTTAAAACCCAGCTTCTAGCTCCATGAAGCGTCTCAAAACACTGGTGCCAACAGTAACTTGGTCCTGAATACAAACTCTTATTATCCAACCTTCACATGACTATGAAACACATCACATATTCTGGAGATCTTCATACTACAACTGCTTTTCAAGTATTTATATCTTGCTTGTCACTTACTGAGAACAAGGCTGGTTCTACCCTTTTAACACTTCCCAAACTGTAGGCAGAGGCGAACACAAGGCACTTCCGTCTACTGATCTGATAATCTGTAAACAATCTACGTCAGATTTTTCCACTTACTGTTTCCCGGTCTAGAAGTTTGGTCACTTTCACTTCTCCCCTGGCAGGGTCGATTGTAAATGGACTTCCCTGATTGCCGTCTATAATTGAATAGCGGATGTGGCTGTTTGAAGGTCCGTCGGCATCATCTGCCATAACCTAGAAAATATCACACTCCGGTTTAGGAGACAGATGAGGGAGGGACAGAAATCGACTAAGCAAATGTCTGATATCAACAGCTAGTTTGTGTTAAGGCAATCACTTATAATAGAGTCAGTAACTAAAGAGGCTAGCAAAAGACATTTCCCTATCTTCAAATTATCAATATTTTCAAGGAAGGCCACTACAAAAACTGGATCAGTCTCACTAAAAGTTCTTGCACAGACCCAGAAGAAGGCTGTAGGGGAAGAGGTACGCACTGTAATGACAGACTGTTCAAGAACAGCATCTTCACTGATCACTGCCGTGTAGGTGTCTTGGCTGAACACTGGGGTGTTGTCATTGATGTCTGTTACGTTGATGTTCACAGTGGCAACATCACTCAGTGAAGGTGTGCCCCCATCAGTGGCTTCTACCGTCAGGTAATACTCATGAGAGCTTTCATAGTCCAGATTCTCAATGATAAATATGGCCCCTGAACAGAAAATCAAAATTACTTTCCAGTGCTTTAAAATGCCACCACATTCTCCTCCTATGACTAAAATTTTCAGTTTAATAGTTTACTTACCATTTATGTATGGTTTCTAATTTCTTAATTCAACAATTAAAACATGAATTTGCCCATCCTTGGAACCTTATTTATTTCTCTTAATTACTTTCCTGATACTCTTTGTGATATGTGAATTGCTTTCCTAGTCAGTACTCCTTATGTCTCCCTGCTATAAAAATGATAACATTTCTTATCTCTTTTCAATGATAGTTTACTACAGACTTTAATGAAATAGAAAACACAAAAATTCTGTTCTTTGGCTTTTCGTTTCCTTTTCCTTCTCATACTTTCTCTTTTACAGAAATGTACATCCTTTTAAAAAATCTCCAGAATAACTATTTATATCCCGTCATTTTTTAAAAATCCCTTTTTGATTTAATAATTCCTTTAACGTCTTTCCTTTTAACTTCCTTATAGTCTACCCTACATAAAGAGCCCTAAAAGTAACAATTTTATGATATGTGCTAAAAATACATTTTAAAACAGCATCATCACACACCTACCCTTCAGCTGAAAGCCACATACAATTAAATACAGTTGGAATGGAGCAATTTTTTACAGAGCAATTTACTTACACCTATTTTAGATGACAGATTAACAAGACTACAAAAGGTATTTATGCAGCCAGAGTCAATAGCGCCAATGACTTCTGACCTTGTTGGCGGTCACTCAGTAAGTGACTCGGTCCAAATACTTTGACGGTTGTCTATAACTAGCGTAATGAAGAGATCAATTTAATGAATTATCAGATGTCCCCTACTGAAACTAAGATCAAAGAGGTCGAAACTGCTGTTTCACCTGGGAAGCTACTTCACATGAGATCCACGTGGGCCATCAAAAGGAGTCGTTCTGCAAAATCTTCTACCATCTTCAATTCTTTACCTTTACTGATTTATGACACCTTATATTTTTACTAAATTACTAGAGTATGATGCTTTAATTTTCTATTTAAAGTTAATTTGCTTATAGTTATAATGGATAAGCCAGAAATGTATTTTATTATGTAGAACTATAGTTTAAAGCCTTCTAAACAACTCTGAATCCCACTTATGATAACAACACAAAGAAAACTTGGGTCTTCTCTTTTAGAATATCTATTGACAATGTATGACCTGTTTTTGTACCAGGTGAAGTGCTGAGCAATCTAGCCGTTTTTTGCAGAATAAAGGGCTTCCTCTCGTTTGCATGGCAAGTTACCTGTTTTAGAATCTATGCTGAATTTCCCATGTTCGTTTCCACTTATTATCGAGTAGGTGATTTCTGCATTTGCTTCAATGTCCCTACTTGCTGCATACACTTGAAGAACTTCTGTTCCAATGAGAACATCCTCAGACACTGTGGCACCATATTCACGGTATTCAAACACGGGTGGGTTGTCATTTATATCCAAAACGGATACAACAACAGTGCCGGTAGCTGTCAACCTTCTTGGCAAACCATGATCTACAGCTTTCAAAGTTAGAGTATATACTGCCTGTAGTTCTCTATCCAAAGGCTTTTCTAACTGAATGATTCCAGATAATTCATTAATGGAGAACTGTCCATCAGCAGAGTTAATCAGTGAGTAGGATACCTTCCGATTCAGTCCTGTCAAGACATGACATCACGTCAGAATGTTTTATTTCAAGAAACGTAAACAAATTATTTTTTTTAAATCCAGCATACATATGAAAACGGGAAAATGCCAATATACATTATTTTAAAATTCTTATGACTATGACCTTAAAAATGTAAACTTTAAAATGAGCAATTTGTTGAGTTAAAACAAATATAATTTCATAGTTATCTGGCTTTTTCAGACTACGTTATACAGGAACTTATGCTCTAACAGCCAGCAGATCTATAAAAATAAAGCCTATTTGTTATTTAGCTTCAGTAACAAAAATTTATTTGAAAAGTAACATTTTTGGTATTCTTCTGATTCTTCAGTGTTAGAATGACTGAAGAAGTTATTTTTATTCTCTGCTATCAAAATATACCTTAGAGTCTTATTTTCTCTATAAAAAATTGGAAAGGTCTGTAAAACTATAACAATATATCGTTTTCTTCTGTTATGTTCCTATGATACTAAATCTCTTTGTCACTAATGCTTTATTCACAAAAAATAACACTTCACTAATTAATTCAATGGGACATAAAGATCAGTTTATCTCATCACTAAGCAGAATTTTAGGGGTACCACAGATACTTTACAACAGTAAGTTCACTGGGCACAATTTTGAGACTTCAAATATTCATTAAAAATGAGTTCATTGGGCTTCCCTGGTGGCGCGGTGGTTGAGAGTCCGCCTGCCAATGCAGGGGACATGGGTTCGTGCCCCGGTCCGGGAGGATCCCACATGCCGCGGAGCGGCTGGGCCCGTGAGCCATGGCCGCTGGGCCTGCGCTCCGCAACGGGAGAGGCCACATCAGTGACGGGCCCGCGTATCGCAAAAAAAAAAAAGAATTTCTTATTCTGAAGATTTCATTCCATTTTTAATGCTAACACGATTTTTAACGGTAGCATGACAATGGTGAGTTATTCAACATGCATGAGGTAGGGGTCATCAGAGGGGCTGAATGTGGAACAGTGCTGTAAAATAGGCTCCTCCTCAGGTAACAGTGCATAGTCTGAAGGCAAAAGCATCACTTGGGCGATACCTGCATCCACATCCGTGGCCTGTACCCTTGTCAGGAGCGTGCCAGGCTCTGTGTTTTCAAACACGGTGATGGTGTAAGGATCGGCAGAGAATTCGGGGGCGTTATCATTCACATCCTCTAACGTGAGCACAATATCAGCTTGACAGAATCTTCCCCCTCCATCCGTGGCCTTGACCAGCAGATTATAGGTTGCCTGGTCCTCGCGGTCAAGGGGGGCTAATGTTTTCAGTTCACCTAAAGACAAAAATAAATGGGCTCACTTGAAATTTAAGATGTGACTGCAAGAGCACATCTTTCTTCCCCTTTTCTCTTACATTGAGAAAATCTGAATAACAGCCTTCCTCTGGAGAACAATTTTATTAGTGACAGAGTCAGCAGCTGTGGGAGCCCTCAGAGCTGGAGGGTTTCAAACCCTGCCAGGTGCTAGCTCTAAGCCTCAAAGCTCTCCAGGTCAGGACCTCTGGCATTATATACGATGCCCAAAAGCAAAAGAGCTGCCAATTTACCAAATTGAAAACATTTTTAAATTGACTCAAAAATTAGATTCACATGTTTATCATTAATTTGGGGGGAGCTTAATAGAAAACTGTTACTTGACCCCCAATTTTAACAAAATACAAATTGAAAGAGAAAGTCCTAGAGGTTTAAAGTAAAACACCACTCATCATTTTAATGAATACACTAAATTATAAATGTATGGTCACAAATTCAAGAAAACAAACTATATGTAAAATGGATAAAGCAGAAAGTTTGAGATATACTTTAACTTCTGAGTTTTTTTTTTTTTAAAAGGTGATATAAAAAAACATAAATTTTAAATCCTCGGTTCAAGTAGGTGATTGTTGCTGTTTTTTATCTCACCTCAAATTTTACACATTGAATTGCTGTTTGCATTTCTAAAAGATGCCATTTTTGTAGCAGGAGAGTAAATTTTACAAGAACAAACTGTCATTTCAAATTTTCCGTGTGATCCAAAACCACCCACACGTGACTTTGCTGGAACACAATTAGTTTTGCCCCAAACTCTACCTTTACCTGTGTCTGGATTTAGTTTGAATTTTTCTGCACCTGGACCAAATAATGTGTAAGTAATTTCGGCATTGGAACGGATATCTGCATCTGTAGCAGAGACCTGCATGATCAATTTCCCAGGAAAGGCATCTTCTGGAATCGTGTCGGAATATAAAGTCTACAAAGATTTTAAACAATACTGTTAACATAAAACATTAAAAAGTAACATGACTGCCAAGGGAGTAACAGAAATCATTTAACTTTGGTCACAGAACACATGGGAAATGACTAAAACTAAAATCCAAGGAGCTTTCAAAACTATTTTTCTTACAAAACATTTAAAACAGAGATGATTCATATAACAGTTAACAACCCCATACGCTGAAAGAGTCTGACCTGACATTTAACCTACAGAATTCTGAACACTTTGTCTTTGATTTGGTTTCATATTTAATTTAATTTAAATTCTTATGAGAAAATACACATAACACTCCATTTTTACCTAAAAATTAGAGAGAATACAAGCCTGATACATTACGTCTTATTTCCAACACAGGAATTTATTGTTTGCAATCACTGTTAAAACACCACCAAGTAACTGCATTTGGGAGAGAAGTGAGCCTCATGACACAGGAGAAAACAAAGGTTATCCAAGGCCACCTGGGAGGGGGGCAAGTGATGCTCAGGCCAGGGCTCTCTTCTGCCCTGCTCCACCCCGTCTCTCTTCAAATCTGACCTGATTCTCAAACACAGTGAACGGTTGTTTTCCAGTTCTAAATATTTAGAAATCCATGTCGTAAACCAAAACATAAGACAAACGGATAAGACGTTGTTAAATTTATTTTCTTAATATGAGCTCAATTTTAGGTGAACTATGACTCATGAAACAGGATATTTTGTAATACTGATGATTCCGAATGATCTAGTGTCCTAATTAATACCAAAGGTGAAAGGAGAAGTGTTGAAAAACAGCAAAACACACACATTTAGTTTCTATAAGATACATACACAGGCACGCACACACAGAATCCTCCTTCCATAAACCACTGTCACCAAAACCATGGATTGGAATGAACTCCTCACCCCTCAGAAGTCCCGCTCTCCCCCCAGCTGAATTATTCGTATCCATTTCCCGGAGAGCTCTGCCCCTCTGCCTGTCCAGCTACACACAGCTCATGCCCACTGCGGTGCTCTCCACCTCCCCGCCCCCTTCCAAGTCACCTGCTCCCTGACCCAGCCTTCCCTTTACCTACCACACTCTTCTTCCTACTTTTTACTCCCAACTTTCGTCACTGCCCAGATCTATCTCCTTTTTAACACACACCCTTTAATCTCCTGAAACCAGGTGTCCACCCACATCACCGCACTGGGACCACCATCTCCAAGCCAGTCACAGAACCCAATGGTCTGTTTCACTCAGTCCGCTTTTTATCTCTGTCACACCTCTGCTGGCCATCCCGCCTCCTAAAAGTTCTCCCCTCCTTTGCTCTCAACTACACTGTGCTGGTATCTGCGCTCTCTTCCTTCCGCCTTCTTTCTCTCTAGGGGGATACCTGTCTCTACTCTTTCCCTCCTTGCTATTATCCTCTCAAGCGAATGCAGTTAGCAGTTATCCACCCGAGCTGCCAAGTTCACACACCCATCCTCCATCTCGCTAACTCTAAACGACTATAAAAACACATTCAACTGAATGTCCCGTGATCTTAAACTCAACAAATCTGAAGTGGAATTCAGCATGCTTCCTCTAAAACCAATTCCCGCTCCAGGCTCATCTGTGGTCTTTCTCCCAAACACTCCTGTAGGAAACCTAAAGTCAACCTTGACTTAACTAACATGCTTGTCGCGATGTCATGGCCAGGCAGGACCAAGTGCCACTGGTTTTCCCGTTACAGCATCTTTCATCCTTCCGTTCCCTGTGCCTCACTCCACTGCCTGTTATCCCCACTTTCACACTTCCTCAGCTAAATGGAAACAATGCTACCAGACTCAGCTTCTCTCAGGAACTCCTGGAGTACGCCATCTCCACCTTTCACGTAAGGAAGGATTCGTGGAGTCCCAGCTCCCTGGAACGCCCTCCATAGCCCCTCTCACCCAGTTTACCCTCCGGCCCCAATGCCCTTCCGTTTCCACTCTTGGCGATCTCATCACCACCTCCCAAAGGCTGAGCTTTTCCTCATCCTCCAGTTCCGGGGACAACTCCCGCCCTCACTGAGCAACCTCAGGTGGCGCAGCTCTTCCTTGGTGTGCATTTTGTCCTCATGTTAAACGGTGGGCTCCACAGGGGCAGAAGCCACACGCTTCACCTCTGGGTTCCCCTAGCGTGTACAAGAGCAAGGGCCCAAAATACGGTCTCTTGGTGCAGAACAGAGCTACCTCACCACCAAATGAAGGGAATCTTTTCATGAAAACGTAACAGAGCAATGCTTATATACAACTGTAATCCTGTCAGCAATTCACAGTATTTTGAACTAGGTTTTTAAGCTATTTAGCATCCCCCAAAAGTAGTTCTGAAGCTAATGCAACTCTTGCCCCATTTAACCCTCACCTCGACTTAAACATTAAGAGATTACAACATGAAACACATTTGAATTACTCTACAGCACCACGTGACAGTCCTTCTGAAAGGTTTAAGAAAGAAATCTGAATTCATAATATATAGACTTAAAGAGCATCCTACCTTTTCACAAATGGGACTGTTGTCGTTTGCATCAAGGACTTTGACTTCAACTATAGCTTTTGATGAGAAGGTCCCATCAGTTGCTGTGATAGTCAGAAGATAATTGTCCCTTTTTTCCCTATCTAGAGGTTTCTTCACATAGACCTTCCATTCATTCTGTATATTTTCAATAGCAAACTGCCCCAAAGGATCCCCTCCTATTAAATCAATGGAAGGAGATGACAGTCAAATTTGTTGAAATAAAAAAAGGAATAACAGGAGAAATAAATTGTACAAAAGATATATAATATTATGATTCAAAAGAATTAAGTTTTAAAGAAAGTAATTGCACTTAAATTTATTTTATTAGCTTTCCCATTCACTAACCCCTCCCACCCAAAACCCTCAAAAAACCCAAACAACAAAGAAAGCAGCACTAAAATGTGTATTTAAACGCAGCATTAAGCCAAATAAAATTTCAAGACGATCAGTAAACATTTTAGCCTATACTGAAACCATAGATTTTTAAAATTATAATATCTTTTTTATACAGTGTATAAAGATCAACAGAATGAATCATCAAAATCAGCCTAATGAAACAACTACTGGCTTTGCTCAGGCAAAGAACTTGAAACATAGCTTAACAGATGTTATTTCTACTTATTTTAGATATACTAAAATCGTCCCTTCAACTCTCAATTTCCATAAAATACATATCTCAGAATTTATACTTCTAATACAACTTAATTTTAAATTAAACCATTCGCTTTAAACACGTTACCTGTTATGTAATATGTAACTTGTCTGTTGATCTCTTCAGAATCAGCATCCGTGGTACTCAGGATGGCAATTACGCCCCCTGGTGGATCATCTTCACTCACAGTCCCTTTATAAATCTCTGCTGTGAACCGTGGGGGACTATCGTTGACATCGGCGACAGTAACATCCACAATGGCTGTGGAGGAGAGCTGAACCTTTTCACCATGATCTGATGCAACCACCTTAATCTGATAACTGTCTCTCTCTTCGTGGTCAAGTTCCTTTAGGGTTGTAATCCATCCTGTTTCCATGTTAATGGTGAAAGATTCGATGACTTCTACACTTTGTGACTGATCTAGACTATACATAACTTGGCCATTGGTTCCTGAATCTAGATCAGACGCCCTGATCTGGATGACTCTGCTTCCCCCTGGCAGGTTTTCAACAGTAAATGCCTCATATGGACTAGACTCCAAGACAGGGCTGTTATCATTTGCATCTTTCACTTGGATACTAACATCTACAGAAGCCACCACCTCATAGTCATCGTGAGTGCACCTGGCAAGTACGGAAAACTGGTACCACTTAGTTGTCTCATGGTCCAGACCCTTCTCCAGTTTCAGTCTCCCACTCTGTCTGTCGATCACAAAGAACTCATCTCTGTTGCTCTCTGGAGTATTCCCTTTGACTAGGCTGTAAAGGACAGTCTCGCTATGCTCTGCTCGAATGAGATCTATTTCTGTTCCAATAGGAACGTCTTCCGAAACTGTATAGGTGTAAAATGGTTCTGAAAACCTTGGAAGCCGCATTTCTGGTGGAAGTACCTTAACGTAGACGGGAACAACAGATTCTTTGGGTGGAGACCCATTATCCACAGCTCTGACAAAGAAAGTGAAGACCTCGTTTTCCAAGCCAATTAAGCTTTCTTTTGTAGTTATTATGCCAGACAGTCTGTTAATTTCCAAATTCTCTTTAACGCCTTCAGAATCTGCTTCAATGGCATAGGTGATGTCGGCATTGGATCCCTCATCAGCGTCACTGGCAAGGACTTTGATGACCGACGTCCCTTTGGGAGCACTGGATCCAACATTCACCTCAAACTTGGTTGCTCGAAACTGTGGTGCATTATCGTTGTCATCTGTAAGGATGACGTTAATGGTGCAGAAAGCAACTTTTCCACCAGTGTCCTTGGCCATGAAACGAACTGGGATTACTTTTTCCACTGGGGTTTCTCGATCAAGTTTTTCTAAAGTAAAGATCTGTCCTCTCTCATTTGTGTAAAACCTGTCTTTGGCAAAGTCATTTACAATATGGTAGGTAACGTGACCGTAAATACCCGAATCCCCATCAGTTGCTTTAACCTCGGTCACCAGGGTGTGCAAGGGAGCATTTTCAGCAAGCTCCACTTCATATTCGTTCTGAAGAAAAATGGGACTGTGCAAATTGCCTCCAATCACGCTCACATGAACCTGAGCTGAACTCCTAAAAACTCCGTCAGACACAGAAACCTGAAGGGTGTACGATGGCTTCAGGGCGTGCCGGCGCAGGTTGGAGAGCGTGATGATCCCCGTCCTGCTGTCAATGACAAAATTCTTATGATCATTGCCGGACAGAATGGAATATTCCAACTTGTCTATGTCTGAACTGTCCGCATCATAGGCTTTGACACAGGTCACAAAATGCCCATGGGCAGCGTGCTCGCTAATTCTGGCTTCATAAATCTGTTGGTCAAATAGTGGTGGGTGATCGTTGAGGTCGGTGACATCCACTGTGACAACCACTTCGCTGCTCAGAGGAGGCATGCCGCCATCAACAGCCCTTACAAAAATCTTGTGCTGCTGGAACTGCTCAAAATCCAAAGTCCTAACCAGGGAAATGAGGCCAGTGCTGCTGTCTATGTGAAAATGATCATGACTCTTGCTATGATTCCCAAACATATGGTATGAAATCCCTCTGTTTGGTTCTGAGTCAGAATCTGTTGCTCTGACTTGAACCACGGATGTGCCAATTACAGATGCCTCGGACAGGGTGGTGGCATAGGACTGCTGGGCAAACACGGGAGGGTTGTCGTTGACGTCTTCCACGATTACGTCCACAAAGACCTCGGCGTGAGCACCGGTCAAGGAGTCAGTCGCTCGGATGCTCAGTTTATATGCTGGGTGGGACTCAAAGTCCAGAGGCGCTACGACATTGATAACTCCGGTGTTGAAGTTAATAGTAAACTGGCTGAAAGGATCGCCATCTGTGATGCTATAGAACACTTTCAAGCCCTCTGGACTGTTGGCTTGTACGTGGACAACGGGGCTGTGCATCTGGACGTTCTCTGGAATCTCGGCGCTGTAGAAAGGCTTTTCAAACACAGGCATGGCTTTGTTCATAACGGTGATGGGAACCATGACTTCAGCCGAAAAAGCTGGGTTTCCTCCATCTTTTGCAACCACTGTGACAAGATATTCTTTATTTAAGGTGTCAGGTTCAAACTGTTTTTTCAGTGAAATCTCCCCTGAGGCTCCAATTTGGAAGTGTTCGTGGTGTTCCTTGAGGTAGTAGTGCACTTCCCCGTTCCTGCCGCCGTCTCTGTCGATGGCTGTCACGTAGCGAATAACATGGCCCACGGCGGTATCTACTTTAACGACGGCGTAGTAAGGCAGGTTGACAAACACCGGTGCATTATCATTCTGGTCTTCGACGATGACCTTTACAATGACACGGGCCACCGCTGAAGGCTTGCGTTCTTGTGTCACTTCCACTACCACATCAAAGGTCTCCTGCTGTTCCCGATCAAACGGTATGCCAGTGGTCGACAGAACTCCGGACGTGCGGCTGATTCTGAATCTGCGATCTGGGTTGAGGATGTGATAAAACAGGGGCTCGTTGATTGGATTCCCGATAGCAGTTATGACAGCTAATCTTCTGGCTTCAGTAGAATTCTCTTTCACTACCACAGAGTAGAAATCTTGGGTAAACTTCAGCTGACTTTCTTTGCTTTCTTTCACGTTAATTTTCACAGAGGTTAAGCTTGCAAATCTGCCATCAGAGGCCCTGACAGTTAACTCATAGCGGCTCCTCAACTGAGTTGTGTTTTGTACAGTTATAGTACCAGTCTTGTGGTCCATTAAGAACTTCTCCCCGATGTTGCCTTCGGTGATGGAGTATATTAACTGTGACAGTGCGCTTGAATCAGCATCTGTAGCATTTACTGTAATGACCTTGACTCCTTTGTATGTTGGCAACAAAAGAGATGCTTCATACAATGATGTGGAGAACACAGGAGGGCAGTCATTAATGTCAATAACATGGATAGTCACGTTGGCTGCATATTCAGCAAATAAACATGGTGTTCCCATGTCATGAACTTGTACAGTGAAGTGAAAAGTACTTGTTTGTTCATAGTCCAAACTTAGTACTGTGTGAATAGCACCAGTGCTGGAATCAACAGTAAAATATTTGTGTATAGCTGGTTCAACAATGTGATAAACAAGCAAAGCATTTGATTCTTTATCAGCATCAGTGGCTCGAATAACCAATGGGACATTCCTGTCTGTTAGGACCACACTGTGAATTGAAGCTGATTCGCTAATGAGCCCCGTATATTCTGCCTGCGTAAAAACTGGCAAGTTGTCATTTTCATCCTGCAGATGCACTAGAACGGTTGTATTCGTAGACAAACCAGCCATGTTAGTTCCTTGTATTGTCAATGTATAAATGGGCAAAGTTTCAAAATCCAAAGCTTTCTGAGTGATGATACTTCCGGAATGGGGATTAATATCAAAGGCATCAGCTATATTTCCATCTTTTATTTCATATACCACGGATGACTGACTATGGGCTGTAACCATTCCGACGAAACTCCCAATGCTGATAGTTTCACTAATTTCAACAGAATACTCTTTTGATGTAAACTTGGGAGAGGCGTTGTCAGAGATGGTGACAAAGATACACACAGAAGTGATTTCACTCATTGGTGGGTTGCCTTTATCTATAGCTTTTACCATTAAGTCATATTCCACTTGGTTACTTCGATCTAATTCTTTGGCAGTTTTTATAGAGCCCAAGATGGGATCAATTGTAAAAGAATTTCCAATGTTTCCTGGGAGGAGAGAAAAAAGCATGTTAGAGAAAAATACAAGGACCTATCAATATTCGAATGGAACTTGTTTTATTCAATTTGTCTCATTTTTTCGATTTGTTTCATTTTTATCTACTCTAAGGGCAAACTTTTCTGTTTTGTCTATAGATTACGAAAAGAAACAGAAGTAATATCACTCTGTACCTAAAGCCAAAAGTCACTCTCTCTGGTTGAATCAGGAATGTGTTGTGGAAGGATCTGGTTATCCTTCCATAAAAGAGTTTAGTTAATCATCTCCAAGAGTCCCTCAAAACCCCTTTGGAATATATTTATTTATCACTTGCAAACTCTCAAGAATCTTACCCACTATGAAAAGGGAAGACTTCAATTAAATTTAACAAACTTAAATAGAGTTGGCCCTTATTTTATGCATTCGGGGACTTGATGAGTAAGCCTGTGTGTACTCTGCCCCACTTTATGGGTTTTTTTCCCAAGATTTCAGTAATATCCCCTGAATTTTTTCAGGTCAATTTAATTTCTAGGTGAGTGGTTCTCAACTGGAGGTGCTTTCACCCAGAGGGACATTCAACCGTGTCTGGACCCCTTTTTGGTGACCACTACTTGTGGGGAGAGGGTGCTCCTAACCTCTAGTGAGTAGAGGCCAGGGATGCTGCTAAACATACTACAATGCACAGGACAGCCTCACAGCAAAGAACTTTCTGGTGCAAAATGTCAATATTGCTGAGGCTGAAAACTCTTAAGATTGTTTTACTTGCTTTTCTTTAGACATTTTCCAGCTACGTTATGTACATGTATTTAGCTGCAAATGCAACTCCACAATATTCCATAGTTTTGTGCCACTTGAGCTCTTCCTGAAACCAGGAGTTTACTACAGTTCTGCAGTTTACTCTCTTTCTGGGTAGATCAAGGCAGTGTGAGGGTCCTCAGATTTGATCCAACCACGAACCCTTCATCCCTTTTCTGTTTTATAAACAAAGAGTCCAGAATCATTTATTCTAGTCATAGAACTGAATTGATCTAGTCTGAGGAGCTGCCGCAGAACTTGCTGAGGCAGAAGATCATGAAGCTCCCCATGCCTGAGTCTTTAAAAGCTTACTTGACATATTTTAGGGGAAAACAACTTCGAACAAGAAGAAAGAATGCCTACTGATAATTCCTTTAATCTTGAAAATGTAGCATCTGTTAGGAGTTAAAAATTCTTTCTTTCATCAGAGGGAATTTATAGTGGAAAAACGTATAACTTGTTTCTTAGTAATAAAAATGATGTATTCAGTGATTAAAAAGAATCCCTTTTATAAAATATACTTTTCTTTAAATCTTGGAAAATTTGAACTATTTTACTTTACCCAAAACAAAGTCCACTTGCCACTTAACCGCCTTCTCAAATTCTGTGTTCCTCGAGGTCTGCAGTCGAGCACGGCCCTTCACAGACCAGAATTACTTGCTGTGACTTGCAAACCAGGGGCTCAACCAAGCACTCCTTCCTCCTCATCATTACTAGTAAACACTTCCTCTACAGCTTTCATTTCCTTCCTTTAATACATTTTCCAAAAATCCATGATAGTTCTTTCTGAGGCCAGACCCAGTCTGGTTTTCATTAAGTCTGCCTGGCTCTGCGTCCAGGCCCCAAGGCCATGCCTCAACCTGCAACAGGACAGAGGTCCAGAATGTCTCCAGGCCACGAAGCTCTGAGCCGAACCCTGGCCCACGAACGAGGTCATGCTGCCTCTGCCAGGCCTCGCAGACACTAATTTCCGGCCTGTGTGTACCTACGAGCGCCAGTGACCCCAGTTCTCCCCCACTGTGTTTTAGTTGGTTGTTGGGATTCCAAGGTCCTTTCTCAGCTACCTTTGCATCATCCCCACTTCCAAAGCTGTGACTGGTTGACTGCTTGGGGGGCTGTGAAAACCTCTGGACAACTGTCTTCATCCCCACTCTTTACTACCCTATGTCTGTACTAATAAAGTAGCTGACCTACCATATTTTATATTCAGTCATCTAGATGCATTTCTCTTTTACTTTGTACAGTGAAAATCTTAAAGCTTCAAATACACAAGGCCTCACATGGAGGAATGAATGGATTTTATCTGCAATGAGAAGGCTCCTCAATCAAGTGAGCACATCCTCATCTCGGAACCACTGGGCTTGGTGGGTCCCTGCCTGGAACAGTCTTCCGCCAGCTATTCTCACTGCCTCTCCATGCACGCGTTCATTCATTCAGGTTTTGCCCAAATGCCTCCTTCTTAGAGAATTGTGGTGGTGAGGCCTTCCTTGACCTCCCCATTCAGCATGGCTGTTTCTGTCCCATTACCCTGTTTTTTTTTACAGCACGTATTGTCACTTGTTCTTATCTGTTCTCCCACTAGGATGTAAGCTCCACTTAAGCATGGCTTGTTTGATTCATTATTTTATCATCTCTGCCTAGAAAAATGCCTGACACATAGGAGACACTCAGCAAATGTTTGTTGAATGAAACAACTTTTACACATGTATGGAAAGAAAACAAATTAAATACCAAACAGGGTGATCAGCAGCTTGAAAAAAATACATTCATTAAAGTACCATATTTATATTTCTACTTGGTTTTGTTTCCCTGCATTTATGCTATACTTCAATCACTACCAACAACCACTTGTTAGATGCGGCACTTCATTTAAAAGTATTAGCAAAAGGAACATGTCATGACTATTTGGAAATCTCTGATAAAAAATTTTTATTAGCAATGTGACATTCAAAACATTCTTTGCTACTTGCAGTATCTCGACTTTGATAAAGACAGCTCTGAGCTTGTCAACGATAACAAGAAGGTTACACAGGAACACAGCTAGTTAATCAGTATATGGATCCTACCTGTATCAATACATATACTACGGCAGAAACCATCAGATTTGCAGATGGAAAGCAACACCATATTTATGTGGCAACACTGAGGGCTGCTGAGTGGCTTGAATGTTTCCTTGTCTGATCTAGTAATAGCCACATTCACCAAATATTGAAATATACATATGGCATTTGTGAACAAATTAATAGGGCAGTGACAGAAGTCTGTACTAGGTTGGGGCCTTAGTCATTCACTGTAGGAGAGATACTCGTTATTTCTAAATAGTTTTAAATTGTTCTTTCCATATGAACAAGGCAGTTGTTCTTTCCATATGGACAAACATGCAAATGTGTGCTTGTCAGCTATGACTATATTACACATGTACACCCCAAAGGGCATGTCAGAAAGCTGTGCGCAGGACCTGCCTCTTCCCACGGTGGACATGCCGTGGATGCTGACTGCCCCACAGAATGGCAACCTCTGTAAAGCTTCAACTGCAATTACATTTTACATAAGTTTGGGGAAGAAAACCAATTCTAATCAATAAGTATATTTACGGAGTGTCTTCTATTTCCAGAGGTTATGACAGTTTTGAATTAACAATCATCTACTTTAAAAAAATAAATAAAATGCTACAGCCCAGAGTATGGCACCGATGTGTCTCTTAACACCTAACTCAATTATTACTGAAAATATTCTTTAATTACTTCCTTTTTTCCCTAAAGACTCCTCATCAGACCAAACCTTTTGCTCCATAAATTGCTGCTTATTAATCATGCAGTGTTAGAGCCTGAATTTGTAACTACTCTTTTGAACTTTATTAAATGCAATCTGACACAAGTCAGAAGCAGGTGACTATGAATACACTGTTGAATGAAGGCTGTGTGACCATTTTATAGTGCCTACTATTCAACAGATTTACACACATACAATTCTACTGCATTTTAATGGTAGCTGTTTCCTATAAAGTAACCTGTATAGCATGATTTTTACATTACCAAATCTATCCAATTATCTTCTTTGAAGCCCAGAGTTTATATCAGAATAGGCCCTTGGTATTATCTATTCTTTGAGTGGAGACACAGTTCCATTCTTGGAATACCGAATTACTAATCCCATCAGTCATTACAAGCATTTAAAGAATGTGCATGCCTTCAGTCAGGCACCAACAATCATATTTTAAACGCCCAATTGCTGAAAACTATGTGAAAGCTAAGGGAAAGTTTAACATTTTCTCCTACACAAATCCAGTAAGTTTGTCTCAGGGGGGAAAACTATTTTACTGAAGTGCTCAGGCACGTACAAATGGAATGCGCTTTTTTAATGGTTAAATTTCTGAACCAGTGGAAAAATCAGTTTTATTCAGGGCACTAACTACACTATAACACATTTTAACACTGCAACCTCGGACAGTATATGAGGTCTTATTTGTGAGGGATGGCTTAAGCTTGGTCATTTTCAGGGAAATAAATGAAACTTCCAATATATTAAGATGAAAATAGTTTAACCACATAAAACACATTGATAAAGCAAAGAAGTACTCTCCATTTGCTCAGCTTTGGATTATATGATCTTCAGTTAATTGTACCTCTATCAATTCTAATGCCTAGAAAAGATACATAATTTCTAAATATGCAGCGGTATGGACTTACAGAAAAAAAGTTAAGTGGATGATCTCAATATTCTAAAATCACTACAGAGAAAGAATGAAAGAGTCTAACCTTTGTACTGACAATGGCACTGAGAAAGATGGAAAACTGGAAGCTGCCTTCTTGATATTTAATCACTTACTCATAGTATTTGGCACGAGTTGGGCAAGTCCCAAAGCTAGATGATTTCTGACTGAATAAATCACATGCTCTAAAGCAGATCCCTGTTTCAATCAGGGGCAGAATTCCTTTGCAAGCACATACATTTGTGGACCGATGGTAACCCCTACCTATCAAGCACAAGTACAAATGCTCCTAGCAGGGCACCGGGCATATAAAATGAGAGTCCATGGAATAAAGAAATGAATGAGTGAATAGCAGCGTCAAACAGAAAACAGAACAACATTTCACTTTGTCACCACCGTTTCCTGGTGATCCTCCTTCTTGGAATCACCAGCAAGACTCTGGACCTCTTGCCCTATCACACCCAGAGCTGTCCAGGCCCACAGTTCCAGCTGGTCTCCCTGCTTTGCTGTCTCCCACCCAACTCCAGCAAGCCCCTTAGCCTTTTCAACATTTCTTCAAGCCCTCGTCCCAACCCTGGGACCTACTGTACCAACCCAATTCCATGAACGAAATGCAACTGTGAAAGATGCATGCGGGTGAAAGTGGCAGAAAACCAAAGCCTGGAAGGGGTAGGAGAGGCAGGGACACCCTTTATGAGACGTGACCCAATTAAAACTGGATGAGTTGGCACTCTGTCACAGAGTTTCCTGCTCTGCCCAAGAGAAGATATGCTCTGACTAAAAGAAAAATCTTAAATCACTAGGCCAGCCTTACCCTAAGAGTACTTCATAGTTTATGGAGGAAAACGATTGTGTGGTTAAAACCATTTTGGAAATCCTGAATTGGTCAAATAAAGTTTTCTTTACTGCAGGACTTCTCAGAGCCTTGAATTATGCAAATATTATGAATCTCCAAGAACATTACCCAAACATAGTTAGGACTCTCTAGCTTTGCTTTCCAATGAATTAAAAGTTAATTTTTTTTTCTTTCTCCTAACATGTAAAATGGTAGCTATCAATTTAAGCAGTTTTGATACACAGAAATGTTTCAACATCTAGAACTAATTTTAGAAAAAATATACTTTCTAACAAGTGCAAAGTTATAAACCTATAAAAAAAGAGCAGTTATAAAAAAAAGCAGTTATAAAAGCAGTGCTCCAAAAATACCTGATTCGATAGAGTACAGCACTTCAGCATTTTTCCCTTTGTCCTTGTCCAGAGCTGTAACCTGCAACACAACTGAGCCGACAGCTGCTGATTCATAAACCCGCCCTTTGTAGGAGGAGCTCGTGAACCAGGGGGCGTGGTCATTCGTGTCGCTGACATTGACAACAATCCGTGCAAAGTTGCGCTTTACAGGGACATCTTGATCTCGTACCTAAAAGAATCAGCATATTATTGATCCTGTTAAAGCTTTCCTTGAAATTGATTAAAGATCACTCAATCACATGGAACCCTGCAGGAACCAAACAGTGTGTCAGAAGAATGAGCAGAAAGCCCTACCATGACTGTGAGAACATGCTGCTGAATGGCTTCATGATCAAGTTTTTCTGCCGTATAGAGAGAGCCAGTTGCAGGATCAAGGCGAAATTTCTTGAGACTCAATGGATCGATACTGCTCTGCAGAGTGTAGATTAGTTTGTTTTTTTCATCTTTATCCACAGCACTGATTTGCAAAATTTCTGTTTCTGGTGCTGTGTCTTCAGGAATAACAACTTCATATTTTGATGTAGAAAACTGAGGACGATGGTCATTTGTGTCTATTACTTTGATGAATACCTGTGATGACAAAATTACTCACATAACAATAATATTCCTAATCATGATGTTTTAGTATTTAAAGAATCAGGGGAAAAAAATCAAATGCACACTGAAAAAAAAAACCCTAATTTTTGAGCAAAATGAAATTCAAACATGAGAAATAAAAGCAACCAAAATCCAGAATAAAAAACATCTTTCAAATTTTTCATTGACATATTACCTATATAAATATGAGTAAGATAATAAAAACGTTTCTAAATTCCTGAGACTAATTTTTGAGAGAAAAATGTAACACACACACAAATGTAACACACATTTCTTTCTGAAATGCAGGCTTAATTTCTCTTAGGTCTCCACAGAAATTTCTAGATTGCTCATGTAAAGATAAAGAATTTACTTTACCAGGATTCACAGAAGACTGATTTCCTATATCAGATTTGCACCTGTAACTACCAAGCTACTGAGGTGAGTGTGCTGCTTAATGGTCACAGTATCTGAAGTTCTTGTTCTAATCTTTGAGATTCCAAATCCCTACCAATATTATGAATAAAAAGGAAAATGAGAAATGTGCTTTAAAATCCTTATATTTTTGTGATCACAAAACTACACAGATAGTAAATACATTTATTTCTTAAAAGCAATTTAAATACACTCAAGAGAGAGAATTCTCTTAAGTAGGTCATAAAATAAATATTAAATAAAAACCTTAAAGGAAAAAAAAAAGGAGATATTTAAAAACTCAGTCCCAAGTTAAATTTTAAAAAAAATTTAACTTGACAGTAAGAAGATTAATTTTCAGATTGAAAAGACACATGTGGATAAGGCATAACAGAAATCACTACAACTGTAAAAGATGGTCACAGTTATAAACAAGAAACATGAGCTTCACTAGCTCATATGGAACAAACCTCACTAGTCCGAATGGCACAGGAGGCCAAAGTCCTAGTACCGCATGGGGGAGGGTGGCGTGTTAACCACACGGGGCCAAGAACACGGACTAGAGGCCTTTCCATGAAGACAATACCACCGTTCTCCTAGAACACTGAGACCTCAGCGGTGGATCTGTAACATTAAACTATATGAACACTAAATGTATCCACCAAACCACAGAAAGGGTTTATGTGAAAGTTATGTAAACATTTAAAACTACAGATGCCTCACTTTGAAAGGTCAATGATGATCCAGAAGCAAAGGCTATAAAGATAATTTCTATAAATTAAATCACTACATATTCATTTCCACTACACAATTTTGTTTTTTTTAAATTTTTGTCTGCGTTTGGTCTCCGTTGAGGTGCGTGGGCTTCTCATTGCAGCGGCCTCCCCTGCTGCAGAGCACGGGCTCTAGGTGTGCGGGCTTCAGCAGTTGTGGCACGTGGGCTTCGCAGTTGTGCTGCACAGGCTCAGCTGCTCCGCAGCATGTGGGATCTTCCCAGACCAGGGCTCGAACACACGTCCCCTGCGTTGGCAGGCGGACTCCCAACCACTGTGCCACCAGGAAAGTCCCTCCACTACACATTTAAAATTTATTTTCTCATGGAAGGAGTGTTGGGCAAACGCAGTTTAATCCTGCTCCAAGATCAACTGACCCCACCTAAATATGAACAGCTGAAGTAAGAACAACCCTCTTTGATAAAGCAGTTCAACTGACACATATTTCCCGGGCACGTCCATGCTCGGCACTTGCTGCATTTAAGGAGGGTGTAAAGAAGTATGGAGCACCCCTGCCCCCTGAAGCTTTCAACCTCACTGGGCAATGCCTTGTACATACAGGTTTCCTATGTTATCAAGGAAGTTTTCAGGAGTCCAGAGGTGGTGCAGGCCATTTAGGAAGCTTTCGAGGAGGAGACAAGCTCTGCTTGCACAGGTTTTAGGTTGGCAGATGAACGTATACTGGGGTAGGAGGAAAAGCTCAGTCAGAGATATGAAGACGAGGGTGGAAGGGAACATCCTGTCTCTCAGACACCTCAGGAGGACCCTGAACCGGGGGTGACAAAGAAAAGGAACAGGGAGAAGGTGGGGTCCGAGAGCAGAGCCTGGCTCCCGAGCAGAGGCTGAGAACTGTGTGGCCTGTGTGCTCTGAACTGTCTGATGGGAGCAAATCACCTTCCGTCCTCCTCCCAGTCAGGAAGACCGTGCTGGTTAGCAGGCAGTGCAGGATGAATCGCAGAGACAGAGAATGGAGACAGGAAGGTGACTCAGTGCCAAGCAGGGGGACAGGAGCCCAAACCAGTGCTGAGGTGCAACAGGGAACACGCAGGGAGTGCTCACTGGGGACAGGCCTGAGGGCTTGAGGGGCCAGCACCCGAGTGTCGTCTCACTTTGTCCTATGAGGGCAAAGTCGCTGTGCCCATTTTCCAGAGGAGAAATGGAAGCACAGAGGGTCATAGCCACCTGCCCATGCATAGGAGTAAGAGGCAGAGCCCCGATTCAAACAAAGTGGCCTGCTCCAGAGTATGCAATGCTGATGTTCCAGAGAAACTGAAAGAAAACAGGAAAGCAAAGCTGTTTCAAAGAAAGGGAAAAAATGTGAACTGGATTTGGTAAGTTACCTTGAGATAACAGATAAAGCAAAGTGACGTGATTTAATATTGGGCAACATCCTCAGCGGAAACAGCAGGACAACAAAGCAAGGAAAGCTGCTTCAACAGAGCACTGGCAGTTACATCACGATCCTCCGCCACTCCCCTCTGCGAGGATGCTCTCTGGCTTAACGGAAAACACTCTCCAAACCTCAGATCTGACACCTGCTGCTACCGACCGTGATGCGGCAAAACCTGTTCCGTTGGTTCCTGAGTTTCACCTACAAACAGGAATCTACCTGCTGTGTTCCAGTGCCTTGTCAGCTGGGTTCTGATCTCTGTGTCCCTCTTCAGCTGGTATTTGCTGCTCTCCTCCCACTCAGATTCCTATCTCCCTGTTCTCAGCCCCAGACTGGAAATCAAAACCTAATTACTGGTCATTGTTCCCTAATGACCCACACCTGGACAGGTCAGCCTGGGATCTGGACCGCTCTCTGATACTCTACCTCTCCCTGCCAGCAATTCACTAGGATATTATCAAGACCCTCTGAAAATGACTCAAAATAAGTTACAGAAGTATGCCCGAAGCATTGAAATTGAAGAAATTCTGTGTCCCTGAGAGAATATATTTACTGGGTTTTATGGGAATTTTAGTCACCGTATTTCATACTAAGCTCTTAACTATACTAATGAAAACTACACTTACTGTGAGTTATGTAGTAAGTGATAAATGCTACAGGTAGATATATCATCTTTAATAATGAGAAGGCTTGGCACAGAGGGTCATTTCTACTGGTTATTAAGTTTCCTTTGCTAGACTTCTGGTTAGTCAATTACTTGAACTGATCTACATACAGTTACACTCTTTAACCTTTCAGAATTACCCTGTTCAATTTATTACAATTCTTGATGCCTTTCTTCTCATTTTCATGCTCTAAAGTCTAGTTTCTACAAAGAGAACAGTTACTGACAAGGCTGAAATTTTAATACTGTGCTGGTACTTTTACATGACAACCTCAAAATGACCCCAAAGCATGATTCATATTATCAATTTTAAATACATTAAAAATCACAAGCATTTGGACAAAGAAATAAGGTCATTTCACAACTGACTTTAAATTATCTATTCATTTATTAATTGAAAAGACATCACAGACCAATTTTTATTCTTCAATGCAACTAAATGATTTAGTAAATGATCTGTCTTAAGATTTAAAATAGTATAATCTAAAGATAGGAAATTGGAATTCAGAAGCATTTTATCCTCTAACATTTAATTTCTTCCTTTTACTTTTCACACACAGCACATTAAACACAAGGCTTTGGCTTTATCATTGTAATGTAAACTCCAAGAGGGCAGGATTTTGTTTCCTACTACTCAGCTTCTAGAACAATACCTGGCACACAGCAAGTATTTAAGAAGTTCTCAAACAGCCCCCACTGTGAATCAGAGAAACTGATAAGAAAGAACAGAACTTAAATGTAATTTATAGGGTTCTGACATGTCAATTTGAAATGCCAGTAATCGGACCATGTCTTAATCATCAGATAGGAATAAAGATATTTAAAGGAATAGAACAATTTTATCAGTTATTTTACACAGTCTAAGGTAGTCAAGGGGGGGAAAAACCCCAAAAAAGTGTTTTAAAAGATAATTAATCACTTTAACCAGTTTTAATGCAAATGACTTGGACAAGTCATCCTTGACAGTGATATACTTTATACTAGTACAATTCAAAATGAGCGTAAAAATAAAAGATTTTGATGGCATAACGTGTTTTTTTTTTTAAGTCTTCTTTCAAAGTTTTCAAAACTGGTTAATTACATTCAAAACCTAAAACAGGATTTGCAGTGATATTTCATTCCCTAAATAAAAATCCTTGCTGTGTACATGTGCATAAACTATATCAAAATAGTAACTTCTGATCTGAGAACCTCAGAGGGCAGAATCAGTTGCTCATATTGCCTGTGGACACTGAGATCAGAACACTGTATCATCAGCAATTTGCCTACCTGAGTCAGTATAGTGGTGGTTCCATCTGTAGCCTCGACTGTGAGATTGTAGTTTGATTTTTGTTCTGCATCAAGAGGTTTGGCAATAATGATGGTTCCAGTGCCCTTGTCCACATCAAAGTGACTATCATAGTTGCCACCTAGTTTAAGTTAGGACAAACATTAAAGTAAAAACAGGTCACGGGATGAAAATTTGTCATTTATTTTGTGGCTTTCTACTTTTTAATGGCAGTTTTAAAAAAAAAACGAAGAAAGAAAGAAAAATTTCTGATATATTGGTCAAAGTGATTCCAAAGAGCTTTCATTTTGAAAGACCAGAAAAGAAGGACCAACTGGAAAGACAATGCTGGCTTACTAGAAAGAAAAAAAAGCTGAGCCATAACTGCCGAGGAAGCTACTAAATGAGAGGAAGCAAGAGAGCAACTCTGAAAACAACAACAAAAACGTTTCTAATACGACCAATGAATTACTTTCAGTTTGTTTTTTCAAGGGTTCTGAATACCTCTTTAACTTATATCTCAGTAGCTACATTTCATATCATTTAGTAACCAAAAAGTTGGCCATTTAAAAATTTACTAAAAAAAAAATTTTGTGACGATTTGAGCATATCGCTCTAATGAAATAACTATTAAAAACAAATGTTAACTCTGGAAAAAAAAAATTGTGGTAGTTATCACTGGTTAGTCCGGACTCTTACTAGTTGAGAATTTTCACTATTTGAAAATTTTTCCCATTGCTGTCATACACAAAGCTTAATGAAAAAAGGTTTCTGTGCTACTAACATTATCCAAATGCATTCCCCATCATATTCCAGATAAACTCTCTTCAAAGCCACTGAACGTGAGATACTTATATCAATGAAATGGAATGGAATGAAAATAAAGTCTAAACATCATGATGAAGTTCTATTACTAAATCCAACCAAAAAGCAAAACAGCACACACACAAAACAGTCTTCAGTTAAATCTAAAAATAAGGATCTAGGGATGTATGGAAAGTCAGAATGTTTGCAATTGGAACAGACGACCATGGGCCCACTATGAAAAGAAAAAGCAATGAAAGATGGTCACTGGAAAGAAAAAAGTTTGAAAAATGGATGCTTTTCTTTAGATCTCATAATCTGAGGCAAATTATGTGATCTCAGCAGATACCTTCTGCTGTACAGTTCAGGTCACAGGTCATCTGAAAGACGTAAAACACTTCTCTAGCAAATGTGTCTCCTGGCACAGCCAAAAAGAAGCAAGCATGGAAGGCAAGCACAGAACAAGGAGAGCAATCAATCGAAGTGGTTCCAAAGGCAGTCAGTTTACACGTGAGGTTAGATGCTGCGCAGCCGCAGTCTGCCCATCTGGAAATGCGATAGGAGTTACCGGACAGCAAGCAAACTATTCTGACTGCAGTTAACTATGAAAAGAATCTTTTTTTGTTCATTTAAAATGAAACTGTAATGGTTTCGTAGGTGTTTATAACATAAACAATTTCATACAAAGACCAAAGTAGGGAAAACAGCCCAGCTGTCTAGAAAGTTCAAGAGGTAGAGCCCGAACCCCTGCGCCCTGTGGTCCCTGCGGCTTCAACCCGCTGAGACAGCAACTGGGGCAGGAGGGCTCCGGGGTGAAGAGGGAAAAGGGATATTGGCTTCCAACCAAAGATAACCCGAACACGTACTTTTAATTTTAAATATACTTGTAATTAAAATACTGTGAAGAAATAAGAATTAAAAAACTAAGACGCCAAAGTCTAATGTGAAATTGTTTTAAGTACGTTGTATTACATTCAATATCTAGCTAAATTCAATGACAGAAAAAAAAGAATTGGCTTGGCATATAATTTTTGTCACAGGGTGATTTAATCTAGTGAAGCCTGCTTTCTACTGAAAATGAGGTAAATCAAACTTAAAAAGCCACAGTTGACACTATCCTTTATAACTTATAAATTTTAAGCATATTCCCTATAAAATACTGACATGCGACAATCACGTAGGCATAGTTATTTTAAACATTCAAATCATAATCACTAAAAATAGTTATGTGCTATATGTTATGTATCAAGAGGAAAAATTAAGAAGCTGTGCTTTTAGACCAAACATTCAGATTTCTCTGTATCTCTTTGGTACACTTTTAAAAACTTTATTTTTATATTAATAAGGTACATACAGAGCACCTATTTTAAACAAGTTTAATATATGTTGGATATAGTGAAAAATTTTGCAGCAAAATACTGCAGTTTAAAACAAATTCTCCACTTATAGGTCTTACTCCCAATTTTAAATTCTGAGATATGCCCCAAAATCAGAAAACCAGAGGCGGGTTCCCCTCAGTGAGATCTATACAAGGATGATGAAAACCGTCATGAAGCTTACCAATGATGTCAAACCAAAGAGGTATGCCTGGAGGCTCAACAGCTATTACTCCAATCATGTGAGCAACTGGATCGCTTTCCATTACAGTAAAGGTAAAAAATGATTCTTCAAATGAAATTGGCTCCGGGGACGGTTTGGGTTTGGAGATCCATTCAATATGGAGTCGAGTGGTTGATGACTTTTGGGGGCGACCATTATCAACTGCCTTAATCTATAAAATATGGGCAGAGGGGATAAAAACAGCAAATGAAAAGTTGCATCCCATAACTGAAGCATTGATTGGTTTGGTCTGAAACTGAACCCATTTCAAACATTTCATATCTGTGCAGTATATATTCCATGTTAATTCCATATTCCATTTAATGCCTGATAAAAAGGGCAACCTTTTTATGCCATACTCAACATAGATAACGAGAATGACAACTAAAAAAGGGAAAAGCAAACCCATACTTCCCATTGTTAGGTACAGCACTGAGGCCATTTTACTGAATAGAGAGAAAGTTATGAGAGACATAAGACTAGATTAACGGTCAAATTATGGAAGAAATTCAAAGACTAGATCTTCACTCACTGAAAGAATATCATATTCTCCAGCTCCAGAAAACTTCTTAGACAAAACCACTCCAGTTTTTGGCTCAATAAAAAATTTGCCATGTTCATTTCCCTCTTCAATGCTATAGGAGATTTCTGCATTGGGACCTTCATCTTTGTCTGTAGCTATAACACGATATAAAGGCTCGCGCTTGGTGTTTCTTTCTCGTTCTGGTTTTTCCCGCTCTGGGAGTCTGATTTTGTAGAACTTCTGCAGGAACTGAGGCTTGTTGTCATTTTCGTCAAGGATCTTCACAATTACTCTTGCAATGGTTGACTTGGGGGGACTACCATTGTCTGTCACTGTAACCTGTTTTTTTTTTAAAAAAAAATAACATCAAGAAATGTTTTTAAAATATACTGTATAAAAAGTGAATGTCTTCTTCCTAATGACAATCACCTTTTCTATAAACCTCTGCAATTCACACAGCACTATGGACACGTACCGATTCCTCACTCCGACCACAGCCCTGTGAGGGGGCAGGGCAACCTCTCCATTTTCACAAAGGGACTGGGGGCAGGCCGGGGGGAGGCCAGGGGCTAGGAAAGCACCGGCTCTGAGCCCTCGCTCTCTCCTTACCCGTCACCCCTCTTCCTCACACGCCCTAACTGTAAACGTTAAGCTCTCAAAAACTCAGTATTTTTAAGCGAAGGAAGAGATACATGAAGATTTTGCTTTTAAATATTTAGAGTCCTCTTGTACATGCTTAAAAATAAAATCTTCACATACTGCATTTAAAAACTGTCATTTTTAAGCTTCGTCAATGAAATAAGTTAAATCATCCGATTAAAATACATGCTAAGTAGCAGGCCTTTTAATACTAGCAATCATCATTTCATTTTGCCTGGCTCTCTCTTGTCTTGTACAGAAGATTCCCATGTTTGGTAGGGTGAACATAAACATTTAAATTTAAGACCAACTTATTAAATGAGATTTTCAGTAAAAGAAATGTAAAGTAACTTTTATTCTAAGTAGATTATTCATGTATTCATTTTAGGAATGAAGATCTGAGATTCTTGAGGGTTATGCTGGTGAATGCTTCTGAATGCATGAGAAACCATTTCACCCTCAGATCCAATGTTCATTTTCAGTTCAGTGTGCACATTAAAAGGGACGGCCGTAGTTACTCCCCTCACCACGTCATCCCAAGTGAATTAATGAAATGCTAAAAACATTAAAGTAGACTTAAGTTTTCTGTGGAACTATGTTCTTTCTGAAGCTTGGCAGGTGCAAATTCTGTTGTTTATAAAAGTGGGAATGAATGTATCTTCATGGTACTTGTCAAGAGTACTTAAGTAAAGTAGCTGCTTTAATTAAAGCACGTGATTTGCCTTCCCAAACTCTCAAAATGAAACAAAATTATAATTACTATTTTAATTTTAACCTCTCAAAACATTTCCTTTTGATCAGTTTTCATGTGATCGTTAGGAAAAAAGAAAAATTAAAGAGAAATACAACCAAGTACTACGCTTTGTAGCATTCGTCAAATCGTTTCCTCCGTTTGGGTTCCATAACTAGCAGCCGGGCGACAGAGCTTTTAACATGTTACTAAAAATACTCTCTTCTTTAAGACAGTCAAATCAATGCCAACACTGGCCCTCAAATCAATTACCACAAAAGGGCTACAGAGAAACATACACGATATGTAAACTAATCTTATTTCCTATCAATATCTTAATATCATCTTCCAAGTCCTAAGTATCTTATACCTGTTCCCACCCAGCCTTTGATATTCATTGAGAAGAGAGGGCTCCGGAGTGAGGCGGACAATTAGCAGGTGTGTAGTGCGGTTCTAATCAGGGTGAGGGGGCCGCAGCAGGACGCCACTGTTCGTAACCTGCTGCCTTGGATATTTTGGCATCTGTTTATCTTCTGGGGGTTGACAGGGGTGTAAAGCAGACCTGAACTATAGTCACAACATTTTCTTTATTTTCCTTCTTATTAATGACCATAAGGTGATATAACAAAATAGCAACAGCTCTGAATTACTAGATAATATGAGTAAGATTGCTCTTTCCCAAATTATTTATGATTACGAGATTTTTTAAATTATTAAAAATTAAGAAATGCTTACTTCTAATATGTGTTCACCTTGCTGCTCGCGGTCTAGTTTCCTGGATGTAGTCGTGATGAGACCTATAAAATGATAGCAGTTCATGAATCCTCACAAAATAAAGGTAATTACAAACTACTGTAACTGAAACCACACACTGAGTGTAGAAGTTTGAGCAAATGCCTAACTTATTCTGAAGAGGAAAAAGTTATTAATCCAGGTAGGGTTAATTATTTTATTTACAAACAACATAGTTTATACTTTCTCATTTTAATGATGCTTAAAAACATTAGATAAATGACAGAAGTATTAAGAAAACGGAAAAACTCAAATCAGTTACATTTAAAAAATTTGTTTAGTAGTTTCAACATACATTTTGTCAGAAAAGATTTTTAAAAAGTGGGATGAAGTTATCCAAGATTTCAACCTCATCCATATCTGCTGTGACTGCTGCAGAGATGATTAAGAATTTTCAGAAAAAACTTCTGTAACTGTATTAAAAAGGACCATTGGAAAATATAATGTTGACTATGATTTATTATCTTTGGGTCGTCTACCCTCAAAAATAAAGAACTGTTATAAAAAGTATTGTGATTTTCCAGGTAATACTGCTCAAATAACAATCATTTAATTTCCCCAAAAGGGAAGAAATGATCCTCAAAGAAACCCCACATTCTTTATTTCTTTGATTTTTCTATCAAGCTAGAATAGCGATAGTTTAAATCTCTCTCTAGAGCTTCAACGACGGCTAAACTGCCAACATATGTTGGAACCTAGAAGGCCATTAAAACTGATGAAATATAGTCTTGTACTTCACAGAAATTAAAACCAAAATTCCCCCAACCACTAAAATAACCTCTGCAACCTGTGCTGATAACGGACAGGTGCAAACTGAGTGATTCTGAGGCCTTTATGTGGCCAATCACCGCTAGGACTAATCCTTCTCCTGCCCAGCTTTCTGTGGTTTTCCACAGAGAAATACCTCAAATAACTCATATTTAAGAACAGATTTTATCATTCTAATTGATTTTCTATTAGCCTAACTAATTTCACAAAACTACCAATTAAAGGCTATTCAAAATGTTTCCCTAAATTTGGACATGAAAGACTTATGTTTTCATTTAATTCAAAGTTTTTCTTTTCTTAAATAGTCACTAAGAATCTACATCAACATTATCTTCCCCACCATTCAATGAAGCAACACTCTCTTTGTAATAAGGACAACAGAAGACTATATTGTAAGCTAGAACCTGGAGTTTTTCCAAAACCGTACTTATAGATTAAAAGAGGTTCAAGGAAAATGCTTCACAATGCTTAATGGTGTGAGAATGTGGCTTACTGTGGCACAAGCTTGATTTTCATTAGTCGAAAACCTTTTAAAGTTAATCCCTTTTTTTTTTTTCCTGTCAAAAGTTTACCACCCTTTCTGATTGTCGTTTTAAGCAGTTCAAGAATGACAGGAAATTGCTGTGATTAGTCCCATCTAATTGTCCTCATGTACCCATCAAAAACTTGCTGTTAGGCCACAGCTTGGCATGTTCACAGCAAGATAGGGTTCTGCTCTGCAGAACATAATCATTCATTGCAGGGATATCTGTTAGCAAATAAGTATCTGTAGCAAATAAATAAATACCCGTTAGCAAATACAATTTCCTCACTTTACAGTTTCCTTATAGCACACCAGACTGCTAAAAAGGATGGACTTACATCTGTATTATCAATTCAATATAAAGACAAAAAGCAAACCTGACCATCTCCTAGGTTTGGAGTTATTTGCATGCTCTCTATACTTAAAATTAATTCTCTCTTAACTCAAATGGAATATTAATTCCATTCAAATGCAATGAATCCTAATGTTCCTTTTTATCCATTTTTTTTTTGTGCCCAGCTACTCCTACACACTCCTCCACCTCTCAGCTTAAACATCACTTCTGAGGGTTCCCATGACAGGCCTAGCCTGGGGTTCTGCTGCAGGGCCTCCCAAGCTCTTTCATTTGCTTTATCATAACATCACCCCACGGCACTCCTTTAAAAGTCTTTTTTTGTATCCTTCAAAGTCCATGAGACTCTGCCTTTCCTGTATATCTTGGTTATACTGTTATATCTCTGTTATCCTAAAGAAATACTTAAATGTGTGAACACATGAATTTCTTAAAACCATAAAAGAACAGAATTTTAAATATGCATTGGAGGAAGAGAGGCACGTAAACTACACTGAACTTGGAAATGATACAAATTTATAGCTTATATAGGAGCTAACAGAAAACCATTTAACATATATTTACAGGTAAGATGTGTCAAGCACTGTGACAGATGGTCCAGGTGAAGGTGATGTCCAACAGACATTTAGAGGCACAGATGTGACGTGCAGGGAAGTCAACAGAGGCAGAGACAGACTTAGTTATACCCCAAGTACAGAAGAGAGTATGAAGAATGGTGAATGGTGGGCCTACCAAAAAATAAAGGGTGGGCCAATCTTATTAAAGTAGGGGCCATGAGTGTTTAGAAAGCCATGAGGAAGCCTAAGGAGCAAAGGCTGGAAGGGAAGCAGGTGTCCCAGAGGCCACAGGCAGAGAAATTTAAGGAGGAAGTCTCTCCTCCAAGTACTTCAGAGAAGCTTGGAAGAGAAGATCAAGTGAGAGCCAGGGAGGCAGGAAGCAGACCAGGAAAGGAATTTCTTTTACGAGGAGGAGACCATTCCGCAGGCTAACAGGGTGTATGTAATGAGTGACTGTAACCACGAGGGAAGATAAAGATCCAGATGTGAACTAACCAGTACAGCAGCCACGAGCCTCATGTGGCTACTGCAATTTAAGTTACAGGTAAGATCTCATGAACATGAAAGATATTTCAGACTGAAAAAAAAAAAGACCTTTCTTCCTAGATTCGCACACTTGTACCAAAAGGAATCCTGTCACAAGTGTCACAGTTTTCTGGTCCTGAACACCATCACCAGGGAGGGGCAGTGCATGTATGTCCTATGGGGATGGCGTGAGGTGGTACACCTCCTAAGAGAAGGGGAAAACAAGTGCTTCCTGTGGAATTTCCATACAAAATGAACCCCAAAGAGAAAACAAAATGTCCTAATGAAGCAGGCACATACTAGGAAAACCGTGGATGCGCTCTGGAGGTACAGTCAACTGCACCGGGAGGGGAACACAGTGGAAATGCTACCCAAGTACCGCACGCTCCAGCCACACCAACTTAGCTCTAGAATTCATGATGCATTTCACAGCCACTTTCACCTCTGTAATTTCTGCACATCTCCATCCTGCTAATCCTTCCACCGTGCCTGCCTCACAAACACCTATTTTCAAAAATGAATCCAAAGGGTACCTTTTCTATATACATGTTATTGACCCTGTAGGTACTGAATATCTAATTAGTGTATCCACTTCTTTCATTTTAAACACTGGTGCTCACCTGTAATGTTTATTACTAAGTTCCAGAAGGAGCTATACTTAACTGAAACAGCACAGTATTTCAGAAATGGAGAGAAACCTTTAAGATTACCAAACTCAGCTACCTGAGCCAAAGATAAATTAACTTGTTCCAATTCACCAGTAAGTCACTGTCCGAGCCAGGATTCGAATTTAGTTTTCCTGAGGCCCAGATGAGAGGACTGGGGAATTCTTCCCCACTCCCCAACACACCACACTGCATAATTTACTGCATCATGATATTTCAACTCTCCAAAAACTCTCCACTGTGACTTACACGAAGTTTAAGAAAAAAGAAAGCTGGCAATGTTCATCATTAGTCATTTAATAGGTCCAAAAAAGCAAGTTAGAGAGTAAAATAGAGTGGGCGAAGGCAGAAAAAAGCATATGCAAGTGCTGCCTCTTGTAACAACTTTATCTTTCTTTTCTCCTGAGCTCTGTTAAATTAAAAACAGAAATGAAGACAAAAAACTTCCTTGCCCTAAAAAAACAATCCTTTCTGTAGACCAATACCATTATAAATGTAAGTGGACTGAGTGAGCAAATACGGCTTCTTCTCACCAATTCACAATTACAAGTTTGCCCCATAAATGTATGTAGAACTAAGAAATCAAACTTTCCTGTTTTTATGAACATCATTAAAAAACTATTTACAGCTTTTCAGTGCCACTATAGCACTTAGAGAAGACTCCATTTAAGACAGAATGTTAGATTAACTATAATGCTTTAATGTAAGATTTTAATATTCGACATTTCTTATAAATCAATACCAAAAACCACCTCCAAACTTCCCAAAGTTCAAGAGATCAAATGGACTTCACGAGGTAGGCGGCACGTAAAGGTGAACTTACGGGATTAGTAGGTGAAGATAACGAAATAGTCCACATCGGCAAAACTGTATTTATGCATTCATTCAACTATTTTGTGCTGTCCACTCAGAACGCAGAGATGATTAAGACTGACTCTTGTTTTCAAGAAACAAGGTCCAGAAGGCAAAGACTACATTCAAGAAACAGTGAGGTAGATGAGAATGTAGAGCACATATAGAAAAGAGCACAGGTCCTTGCTGAGGGCTCTGGATTCCAAGGAAGTTTGAACTTGCTTGGATGATGTCTGATCATCTCTGTTGTTCCAAGGGACAACCAACCCACCAGCCAATATGTGAGTGGAGCCACCCGGGACCAGCCAACCAGCCAAGTGAGACCAGCACTACATGAAAGAGCAGCCAAGCCTGGCCAAGATCAGAACTAAATCATGGTGGTTGCTTTAAGCCGCTGAGTATTAGGACGGTTTGCGCTAAAGCCGAAGTCAACTAATGCCTCAGATGAGCTCATCTCTAACTGTTATTTGGCTTACTCAATGCTCAGGTATTGTGCTATGAGATTTAAATGTATTATCTCATTCAATCCACATGTATATATATATGGCAATATCTGTACCATAATAAATGAATTAATATTTTTACAGGCTCAGAGATTAAGTTGCTTACGCAACGTCATCGAGCGAAGGGGTGAGACGGGAGTTCAGTAAACACAGAGCACGGGAGCCTGAAAGCCACATGAAGAATGAGAGAAGCCAAGGAGGGACGGAAGGCTTTGGTTCTGGAAGAAAGGGTTTGAAACGTCAGCACTATGAATGAAACT